CGACGGAGAACGAAGCCGGCGAAGTTTCAGGCGAAACCGGGCTGTTTTCTTCGATTTTCCGGCGAAATCCCGGCGGCTGGCGGCGAGACCTGGCTGGGGTAGGAAGAGGACGGCGGCCCGGTCATTTTGGTACCGGCCCCGTCGACTTTGGTGGCCGGACGAGAGCACGGCCGGCCAAAACGTGGCCGGCTGTTCCAGCCGTCGCGAAAACCAGAGAGAGGGAGAGACGCGCGCGGGGGAGAGAGAGTGTGAGAGAGACGAGGGCAATTCCGTCTTTTAACCAAAAATCCCACTTCAAAATATTTACGATTATGCCACTGAGCTTCATTTGATCATATCTCTCTCGTTACAACTCCGATTCGAGCCCATTACATGTCTACGGACTCATCTCACCGTGCTCTACGCAACGGTACAACCGGAATTCCCAAATTCCTTCCGAATAAGAAAATGACTAAAATACCCCTATCCCACGGGTAGTTTCTCAATTCCACTTAAATAAATTAAAACATGGGATAATTTGGGGTCGGGGTGTTACAACCCATCAGCTCAACAATTACCTTCAGGGGAGGACATATGCCAAAAAAATAAAATCCAAAGTTCTCACCCCCAGCAATAATATACTCAAATTGTAAGGTAAAACAAATAGCAAAAGAACAGAGCAATAAGTACTATCCATTAATAATATTGAAAAATGGTACTTAGGTGACGAGGGGTAAACTTAATCACACAAACAAGACACAACAACACAGCAAGCTTCACACACTTTAAACCTTGACCAAATACACATATGACTAGTCAACTACTAGTCAAGAAACAATCACAACCAATAGAATACACAGAGCATGCCACAATGTACCTGCAATCCTAGAAGATTACTAGTGACAACCTAGGCACTCAGAAGGACCCGTCAATCTAGGCATCCCTTGTGCTAGCAACAACTATGGTGAAAGTGTGTGAAATCATCATTATCATGTAAACATCAAACAGCAGATACAGATGACTAGTCAACCACCAAGAACACAAACCCAGAAAAATTACAGATATGCAAAACAGATTTTGTTCACCCAGAAACCCACCATTGGGAAAAACTGGGAGTCATCAACCGACCAGGCATTCCACTAAGTAGAAAAAGATTCTTACAAAGGAAACACAACCAAGCTCAAGAAGCACCTAGGTCTATTTAGGAATATGAGCAATTTGGATTCAAAGGAGAAAGACCAATTTCTTCAAGAAACCATACTCTTGAAGAAATCAATCTTGAATCTGACCTAGATATAAATGATAGAATGATTTAAATAGCTAGATGCAGATTTGTGTTTCAAATGCAATTTTTCAAAAAGAAATCAATTGGAAAAACTCATAGATGAAATAAGATGGTTCTCTCGTGGAAGAAGAAGCGAAAGATGGCAAGCCAAACTTTCCAAAACTTCCACACAAAAGAGACAACAGCCAAATGAGAAATATCGTGGGTTATACAGACCAACGAATTCCTTAGGTCAGAAAACCCACTTGGCAGCAGAGAGAGAGAAAGAAGAATAGGACAAAACAGTTTGTTATCCAGCTGGAGGCAAGGATGACTAGTCATATGAGAAACGGTTGACTAGTCATCTTTTTATGAAGACTGTTTTATGTAATGATATGCAATGCTCAATACCTTTGTCAACTTGCTTGAGCCACCATAGAGCAGAGATTAGAGAAGAACACCAATAAAAGTTTTCCCTAATCTAGACTTTGAGCTTGATAAATTACATTACACATCCTATTACAAAGTTGTCAAGGGAAGCCAAAAGAAAATAGTAAAAACCATACATTAACAATCTCCCCCTTTTTGGCTTTCCTTGACAACACACTCTCTAAGAACACTCAACCCAAAACCAAGACTAAGGAGATGATGAAGTGAAGGTACCTGCAAGAACAACCAATCTTCCCAGCACAAAAACAAGCATATTATCACAGAAATTTTAAAACAATATGCAATGTGGGGTTGAGAGTGTTCTCCCCCTTGTTGATAAGGAAAGTGCAAAAAGGCAAAGAGATAGAAACATCAGATAAAAAGGATTAACCACAAAGTGATAGGCAATTAGGAACAAGGTTAACAGCAAATGTTCATAGATGGATGACTAGTCAACCAACAATAGTTTAAAAGCAGTACAGAACATAGAGTTATGACTAGTCAAATATCAGTTGTTCAAAATAGGACAGAACAACTCCCCCTATCACAATGCATAGACTACCCACAATGTGTTTACAAAAGCAATCCCCCCTAGCAAAATGCACAGACTACTCACAATGTGATTACAAAACACCTCCCCTTTTCAAAATGCACAACCTATCTAGACGTAATCTTCCTATCTAGGACACAGCCAAGAGCAACACCAAGCCAAAAGATCAAAGAGCCACCAGAATCCACAGAGTCATCCGAGTCCTCATCAGTGGCAGGAGCAGGCTGAGGATCTGCAGCAGCAGCAGCAGCAAGAGGTGCCGGAGTCGAAGTGGATGGAATGAGGCTCAAAAGATGTTGAATATACTCCTCCTTGGCAGCCAGCTGAGCTCTGAGAGAGGCATTCTCAGAGGAAGACGAAACAGAAGTGAGAAAGGTCCTGGAAACTCTCTGGCTAAGGGCAGCAGAGGCCTTGCCATAAGAAGCAATGGGGGGATGCCACTGATCGAAATCAAGAAATGCCACCCCATTTTTCTCACAAAGGCGCTGAATCAGACAGGGGAACACAAGAGTCCCCTTGTGCTTGGTACCATGACCAATGGTTTTCCCAAGAATGGCATTATATAGGATATCACCAAGGGGAATTTTATCATGATTCACCATGGATATCATGAGTTGGCAGGCAGCAAGAGTGGGATTAGAATTGTTCCCAGTGGGGAGAACATTATGACGGATAAAATCCCACAAAAATTTATAAAAAGGGGACAGGTAAGACTTGATAGGCAGACCTTTAGAGGTCAAAGGCAAAGATTGATCAGTGTATGCCATGGATTTAAAAAGATCAACAGAGTATTCAGCAGAAGCAAGAGCAAATTTTGCAAAATCAAAACCAGGGCATGATCGAAAACCTAAGACCCGATTGATAACAGATGGTTTCAGAGTAATGGGTACTGACCTAACCAAAATCTGATACTTTGACTCCTTAGGGTCAGCAGGAAAGTTAGAGTAAAATTCTTGAACAACAGGGATGTTAAACTTACTAGAGAGAGAATTTAGGGCTTGAAGGTGGTAGTGCTCCAAAATCTGATTTGCAGACTCCTGAGCCGCCAAGGGAACAGCATCAAACTGGTAAGACCTCTCAGGAATGAATTTTCTCTTTGAGACAACCTCATTAAAGAAGGAGGCAGCCTCATTAGACACAAAAGGAGAAGAATCTCCAACAGGAACAGAGGAAGAAGAACGGGTTCGAGGAACCCTAGGAATTGACGGATTGAAATCCACCCTGTCAGTGGATTTTGATTTGGAGCGACGGTGGTAAGTGTGGAGAGGCTTGGAGGAAGACATGGTCAGCAGCGGGAAGAAATTTGGAAGAGAAAACAAATGGAAGAAGGGGCGAAGAGACCAGAACAGAGTGAGAGGGAGAGAAAAATCTGAAATGGAAGACTGACGAGAACAAAGAGAGAGATAAGAGGCAAGCGAAAACTGACGAAGAAGGGAAAATAAAAGACCTAAAAAGGAAAAAGGCGCAAACGACACGACCTAAAAAAAAGAACCGCTCAGAACCAAAAATGGAAAAAAATAACCGCCAAAACGAAAAATGAAAAAGACGCATTGGTTAGGAAACAAAGCGGATGACTAGTCAACCACAAGCAAGATGACTAGTCAACCCAGGCAAAATTAGCACAGGCAGAGCACAAGAAATGAAAAAGACGCATTGGTTAGGGAACAAAGCAGATGACTAGTCAACCACAAGCAAGATGACTAGTCAACCCAGGCAAAATTGGCACAGGCAGAGCCGGATGACTAGTCAATCACAAATATGATGACTAGTCAACCACAAATATGATGACCAGTCAACTAAGGCAATATGAGAAAGAACAGCAAGGCAAAACACCCAGATGACTAGGCAACCATAAGCATAGATGACTAGGCAACTAAACCAGCATTATGACAAACACCAAATAATATCGACCCTGTGAAAGACATGATTTTGGTTCTTTTTTTATTTGATTATTTTTAAATTATAAGCATGAACCAGCACATATATCAAGTGACCAAGGTGGCATTAGCACAATAGTCTAAACCAAGTCTTCAACACATGAAGAAAAGAGAATGAAAAAGAGGAATAGTTTAAAACCATATGCAGTGTACATAGACAATCAACTCTGAGAGACACGCAATGAGATGCAATTCATGCTCAGAGACAAGGCATATTTAGGAAAGAAGGAGGTTTAGAGCCAAGGGACACAAGAGATGATATCTAATCTCTCTTGGAGAGACACGTATACACTGCATTCTTAAGACATGATCATAGTATGGGCTCACAGCAAAAAATCAGCACTCTCTATTGACAAAATATTTGATGATTGATTTTGTGGTACTTGCACATCCCGAACATAAGTGCTTTGAATGGCCCAATTTTACGGCTCTTTGCTCTAGATTCTTCAATCAAACCACCTTATACCTTCCTAGAGCCGTGACTACATTGGTCACACTTCCTTTTTTTTTTTTTTTTTTTTTTTTTTTTTTTTTTTAAATTTGAAATAGATTGGCTAAGAGAGTGAGACCAGCTAAGAGAGAATAACAAGAACAGTCCAAAATGAAGCCGAGATACATGGCTCACCAAGAGGACAAGATAGCAAGATTTTGGTCTCAACTAACAGCTCAAAAACAAGAAAAAGGGATTATGCACAAGTCAAACAAAGCACAAAAACATTCAGCATGCACACCAGCAGAGATGAGTGATATGAACAGTGACATACTGGACTAGGCAACTTACAAGCAAGATGACTAGTCAACTGTTTGGAAGTGTGCTGAAGACAAGGAGCAGACTAGCTAATCAATCAATGGAACAAAGGCCAATGGATTGCCTCAGTGTACCATGTTTCTGAAAGTCCAAGGCCTTGGTGAGTATATCTGCTAGCTGTTTTTCAGAGGGAACAAATTCCAAAGAAAAAATTTTGTCTTCCACAAGATCTCTAATAAAATGGTGCCGAATGTCGATATGCTTAGTCCTAGAGTGTTGAACAGGATTTTTTGAAATATCTATGGCACTCATGTTGTCACAATAGATTAGAAAACATGATTGAGCAAGACCATAGTCTTCCAACATTTGTCGCATCCAAAGGAGTTGAGTACAACAACTCCCAGCGGCAACATACTCTGCTTCAGCAGTGGATAAGGAGACAGAATTCTGTTTTTTGCTATGCCAAGCAACAAGATTGTTGCCTACATAGAAAACCCCCCCGGAAGTGCTTTTCCTATCATCACTACAACCTGCCCAATTGGCATCACTATACCCAACAAGATTGACACAAGTGTCATAGGTATACCACAACCCAAACTCACTAGTCCCACTCACATATTTTATAATTCTCTTAACAGCAAACAAGTGAGACTCTTTTGGGTCACTTTGAAACCGAGCACATACACCAACACTAAAAGAAATGTCAGGTCTACTAGCAGTCAAGTAGAGAAGACTTCCTATCATGCTTCTATAGAGAGTTTGATCCACACTTTTGCCATGCAAGTCTCTATGAATCTTAGCACTAGTGCTCATTGGAGTTCTTGCAGATTTGGCTCCTTCCAACCCAAATTTGTCACAAGATTTTTTGCATATTTAGATTGGGATACAAAGATCCCATCATGGCTCTGTTTAATTTGGAGACCTAAGAAATAATTAAGCTCACCGACAAGACTCATTTCAAATTCACTAGTCATGACATGAATAAAATCTTGAACATGCAAATCAGAGGTAGAACCAACCACAATATCAACATACACTTGAGCAATCAAGACATCCTTTTTAAACCTTTTCACAAACAATGTTTTATCAACGGACCCTCGAACATACCCATTTCCTAGAAGATGAGAGGATAACCTCTCATACCATGCTCTAGGAGCTTGTTTCAAACCATAGAGAGCCTTTTTTAACCGAAACACATCATTTGGATGATGTGGATCTTCAAAACCCTTTGGCTGCTCAACATAGACCTCTTCATTTAGGACACCATTCAAGAAGGCAGTTTTGACATCCATTTGATAAAGTTTAAATTTCAAATGACAAGCAATGGCAAGAAGCAATCTAATTGATTCTAATCGTGCAACCGGGGCAAAAGTTTCATCAAAGTCAATGCCTTCCATTTGAGTGTATCCTTGAGCAACCAATCTAGCCTTATTTCTCACCACATTACCTTGTTCATCGGTTTTATTCTTGAAAATCCACTTAGTGCCTATGACATTTGTGTGGACTGGTCTTGGAACAAGGTACCAAACATCATTTCTCACAAATTGATTTAATTCTTCCTGCATTGCAAGAAACCATTCACCATGGTGCAAGGCTTCTTTCACATTTCTAGGCTCTTCCTTGGAAACATAACACACATGGCTAATTTCTTGAGCAAGTTGTTTCCTAGTTCTCACTCCCTGATTAAGAGGGCCAATAATGACACTCGCAGATGGAATGAGAGAACTATGATCAGTATGAGAGCTGTCAGCTTGGACAGAGGAGATGGAACTAGAAGTTGAAGGGGTTGACAGGTCAACCGGGACAGAATTTTCAAAAGTTGACAGGTCAACCACAAGATCCAGACCTGGAGATTCTTGCTCAAGTGGAGGAAGAGGAAAAAGACCATCCTCATCTAATGCCATCTCTATAGAGGCAGCAAAATCATCAATAGTGACATTTATGGATTCAATGATGGTTCTGGACCTACAATTGTACACTCTATAGGCTCGGCTAGAAGTGGAATACCCTAGAAAGATTCCCTTATCACACTTAGAATCAAACTTAGCAAGATGCTCCCTATCTCTCAAAATATAGCATGTGCTACCAAAGACCTTAAAATATGACACATTAGGCTTCTTTCCTTTCCAAATCTCATAGGGAGTTTGTTTGGTACCAGACCTCACAAATACCCTGTTTGAGATGTAACAAGCTGTATTGACAGCTTCAGCCCAAAAGTGTTTAGCAAGATTTTTGCTATTTAGCATCACCCTTGCCATCTCTACAAGCACTCTATTCTTTCTCTCCACAACACCATTTTGCTGAGGTGTAATAGGTGCAAAGAACTCATGTTTAATTCCCATCTCTTCGCAAAATTTCAGAAACTGAGAATTCTCAAATTCAGAGCCATGGTCTGTTCTAATTCTAACAAGAGGCAGATGACTGGTCATCTTCTCTTTTTGCAAAAGATGACAAACAGACTTAAACCTTTGAAAAGTTTCAGATTTCTCACGTAGAAATGAGACCCAAGTAAACCTAGAGAAATCATCAACCATGACAAGAATATATTTCTTTCCACCAAGGGACACGGTTTGAATAGGACCAACAAGGTCCATGTGAACAAGTTCTAGAATTACATTTGTTTGAATGTGTTTGACCTTTTTGTGTGACACTCTGACTTGTTTGCCTAATTGACATCCTTCACAAACATGCTCATCAGATTTTTCCAGCTTTGGTAAGCCACTTACTAGCTCTCTCTTGGACAATTTATGCAAGTCTCTAAAATTAACATGTCCAAGCCTTTGATGCCACAAAATACTTGTTTCATTTACAACCTTGTTGCAAACTATTTCTTTTGCATCGTTGACACCATCAATGCAGAAGCAATTGTCCCTAGACCTTGCCACGCTCACAATCTCATTTCCACCTTTTCCAATGATTTTGCAGCCATGCTTGGAGAATCTGACTTCTACTATTCCATCATCACACAGCTGACTCACACTAATGAGATTGGATGTGAGACCCTCAACAAATCTAACATTCTTAAGCTCGGGCAGACCAGGGATACAAACAGTACCTTTTCCAACAACTTGAGATCTATGACCTCCACCAAAAGTCACAGTGCCTCCATCAAAGGGGCTGAGAGATGAGAAAACATTTTTATCTCCAGACATATGTTTGGAACAACCACTATCAAAATACCAAGAGTTGATATTTGAAGCAGCAAAAGCATTTAGCACAACAAGAGATTTGGTATGACCTCTTGCAATCCAAGTAGACTTAGGCACAATAGGAGAACTCATTTTGAGGGAGACAAGTTTGGCTATCTTAGTGACCTCATTCAGCAAATGATCAACTTGATCTTGCAAAGATCTGGGATTCCTTTTAGATTTTGGAGACAATTTTCTGGTCTTATCTTTGCTATACATATGACAGACTGGTCGAATATGACCAGTCAACCCACACCTGTGACAAGTTGGAACAAACTTAGGTTTCTTGACAACCTGCTGAACATCAAGAGGAATCGTGACTGGATTTTCTGATTTGACAAACTTAGTGGTAGAACTAGACAAACTAGAACCAAAGTGATTAAATCCAAGACCACCTTTGTCCCCATGAAGTTTTCCCATATTCAACATTTTGTCAATTTTTGATGCACCAATGGTCATAGATATAATCTTCCTATTTGCTTCATTCAATTCACCTAGGAGCTGTTTGTTTGAGTTCTGGAAACCAATGTTACTTTCCTTGAGCACATTAACTTGGTTCTCGAGGTTACTCCTAATTGACACAAGAGCATCAATTTCTTTTTCTAGAGACTCAAATTTGTCACTCAACTCCTTTTTGGTTTCTTTTAAGATGAGAATTTCATGTTGAAGATCTTGTTTATTTGCCTCAAGTTTGAGGCTCTCTTCTTTCAAGGACAAGGTCTCTTTAAACAAACAATCATATTTTCTTCCTAATGACTCGTATGACAGGTCATCTGACTCAGAATCAGATTCATCAGACATGGGCTGTACAGAGGCAACAAAGGCAACATGTTGGTCATCATCATCAGAGGAAGATGAATCATCTTGAGAGCCTTCACTTTCACTCTCACTCCAGCTCACTTTCATGGCCTTGTCCTTTCCTTTGGAGTATTTTTTCTGATTGTTTGCACAGTCAGCAGCATAGTGTCCAATGCCTCCACATGTGAAGCACTTGACAGATTTTCTAAAATCTTTCGTGAAAGGTTTGACATCCTTATTCCTCTCATTAAACCGATCAATTGATGGTCTAAAATTTTTCTCACTACCAGAGCTGCCCTCTCTAGCAAACTTTCCCTTATCCTTAAGAATTCTCCTAAATTTTTTGACAAACAAGGCCATCTCATCCTCAAAACCTGAGGATTTATCACCACCTTTCGGAGAGGAAACATGCACTCCTTGAAGTGCAACATTTTTTGATTTTTTGGAGTCATTTTCTTCCATATTCAATTCCATCTCATAGGTTTTCAATTTTCCTACAAGCTTGCCAAGCTTAATTTCATTTAAATTTTGGACCTCCATGATTGCGGTTTTCTTTGCTCTAAACCTAGATGGTAGAACACGAAGAATTTTCTAAACAACAAGAAGCTCTTCAATGGGTTGACCTAGACTCATGGCTTCATTTGTGATCATCTCAACTCTTCCATAGAACTCAGAAATAGACTCAGTTTCAGACATCCTAAGTTCTTCAAATTGTGCAAGCACCATCTGAAGTTTTAGGGTTCTAACTTGGTCATCCCCTTCATGAACCACCCTTAGTTTATCCCAAGCTTGTTTAGCATTAGGGATGTGTTGTATATGTGCAAATTGTGTGCTAGACAAAGCTGTAACTAAGGCATTTCTGGCCTTCTTGTTCGAATATGCAGCAAACACCTCAGCTTCAGTCCATTCTGACCTAGGCTTGGGCACAACCTCACCCTCAACAGTCTTGACCGGAGCAACCCATTCTTTTGTGAGATACCCACTTGCATACTCATCAAGAGCATCAAGGAATATCTCAAATTTTTCTCTCCATGCAGCATAGTTATTGCCGTCAAAATAGGGAGGGGAGTTGCAAGATCCAGCAACTCGATCCCTTTCCATAGTGAGCACACCTAAACACCAAAACAAATCCTAGGATCTCTCTATTTTTGTTAAGAGCTGACGCTCTGATACCAATTGAAAAATGGTACTTAGGTGACGAGGGGTAAACTTAATCACACAAACAAGACACAACAACACAGCAAGCTTCACACACTTTAAACCTTGACCAAATACACATATGACTAGTCAACTACTAGTCAAGAAACAATCACAACCAATAGAATACACAGAGCATGCCACAATGTACCTGCAATCCTAGAAGATTACTAGTGACAACCTAGGCACTCAGAAGGACCCGTCAATCTAGGCATCCCCTGTGCTAGCAACAACTATGGTGAAAGTGTGTGAAATCATCATTATCATGTAAACATCAAACAGCAGATACAGATGACTAGTCAACCACCAAGAACACAAACCCAGAAAAATTACAGATATGCAAAACAGATTTTGTTCACCCAGAAACCCACCATTGGGAAAAACTGGGAGTCATCAACCGACCAGGCATTCCACTAAGTAGAAAAAGATTCTTACAAAGGAAACACAACCAAGCTCAAGAAGCACCTAGGTCTATTTAGGAATATGAGCAATACCTCCTTTGTGCAATCTTCTTCTCCAACTTAGCAAAGCTTGAAGCTCAGTCCTTCATGGCAATGGCAGCTCCTTCTCCAGCTCGTTCATCCCATGGCACTAGCTTGCAAGCTCCAACACAAACCGAAACCAATTTGGATTCAAAGGAGAAAGACCAATTTCTTCAAGAAACCATACTCTTGAAGAAATCAATCTTGAATCTGACCTAGATATAAATGATAGAATGATTTAAATAGCTAGATGCAGATTTGTGTTTCAAATGCAGTTTTTCAAAAAGAAATCAATTGGAAAAACTCATAGATGAAATAAGATGGTTCTCTCGTGGAAGAAGAAGCGAAAGATGGCAAGCCAAACTTTCCAAAACTTCCACACGAAAGAGACACAGCCAAATGAGAAATATCGTGGGTTATACAGACCAACGAATTCCTTAGGTCAGAAAACCCACTTGGCAGCAGAGAGAGAGAAAGAAGAATAGGACAAAACAGTTTGTTATCCAGCTGGAGGCAAGGATGACTAGTCATATGAGAAACGGTTGACTAGTCATCTTTTTATGAAGACTGTTTTATGTAATGATATGCAATGCTCAATACCTTTGTCAACTTGCTTGAGCCACCATAGAGCAGAGATTAGAGAAGAACACCAATAAAAGTTTTCCCTAATCTAGACTTTGAGCTTGATAAATTACATTACACATCCTATTACAAAGTTGTCAAGGGAAGCCAAAAGAAAATAGTAAAAACCATACATTAACAAATATACCCAAATCGAATGAACTCTACACCCCATAAATTAAAAAATAAAATCAAAATGTATTAATTGCAAAAGAAAATATAACCCCAATAGTACCATATCATTTTATAACCTGCATGGAATGCTACAAAAAAACAAATCTAAATCAAACCTCTTCCATCTCACAACTTAAAACACAACCAAAACCCCAAAAGTGAAGCAAATCATGCCAAAAGAACAAAAAAGAACAAAAAATTGCAGTAAGATTTAGATTTGACAAAGAAAAGCAAAAAAGTATTAAACCACAAATCGGAATTAAAAAAGATGCCAAAAATTATTTAACAAGAAAAAGAAAGAAGAGCACACAGGAGAGACGGAGAAAGTTTGGTCATGGGTAGGATTTGTAGCCTGAGGATGAGATCTCGCGTCGTCTTTTTCCGAACAGTTGTGGAAATTCACTATCGAAATTTATAAATAAAAAAACCTGCAGAAAATCAAAGCAATCGGCAAAAAATAAAAAGAAGAGACAAACTAGGCGAATAAAAATAACATTCAGAAATCAAAAAATAAATAACCTGCAGCAATTGAACGGTATGGCTGCACCTGTCTTCCTTCTTCTCAGAAATCGAAAAATAACAATATAGTTTTATGGCTGCACCATTCTTCCCTCTTCTCAAAACGGTGGTGCATGAGTTTTATTTTTATTTTTATTTAGAACAGTGGTGCTGATTTCGATAAAAGTAATTATGTCTTAGGGTTCAAGGAATTTAGATTCAAGATTTGTTGGGTTTATGGTCTTTAAGGAATCATTTAATTTCATAGGAAGGTCAAGAAGTCTAATGATTTGAGGAATCTTATAAGTTTCCAAAGTCCTATAAGGTATATGGCTACTGAGATCTTCGACAGCAAGCGCAAATTTTATGGTAGGTGAATAGGAATCCAATCTTGGTACATGTATCAATAGTCGAATTAATCAAAATCTTTTCTTTTTTTTTCTATTGATTGTGAAAGTGGAATGATTGTGCAAGAGTGTGTTTTGGTCGATGAACCAGGTGGTTTCTGGGGTTTTCTTGTTTTCTTTTTCTAAATTTTTTTTTAATCTCTTTAATTTTATTTTTAAAAATATAAATAAGTGATGAATTTAGTTGTCAAAAAATTATATTGCTTGAATAAATAATTAAAGGGTATTTTAAGAATAATGGTGGGTGAAAAGTTAGGATTATGTTTTTTCAAATTTAAAATGGTGGGTGGGGAAATAGGATAATGGGGTGAAAATAGCAGCACTCTTTACAACAACACTAAGACCCTGTTATTAATGGACTATGATGAGCATGCACTACCAACCAACCAGCAAAAAATAATAAAACAACCACACCATGTAAAGTAAACAAACAAATAACAAGAACACAACAATTTGAAGAGGATAGGCGATTAGTGTGAGAACTTGTTACGATAATTATGTAATTAGTAATTAATTGATTCCCTGTAATGACGGGTTAGGGTTGGAGCCCTCAAGAATAAAGGAAAGATAACTGGAAGCACGGGCACCTCAAATCCTAATGACGAGCAAATAGGGCTTTGGACAATGTCATTCAAGTTCTGTCGATGACGGTGAATGAACTGCAGAAATTTTTTGAGCTATTGAAGCAATTAAATTCAAGCTTGGAGAGATGAAAAACAAGCTCAATGTTACAATCAAGGTCGTGGGTAATCAACCTCCCACGCAAGCTACGGTACGGACTATAGGAAGGTGAAAGTTCCTTAGCCACAAGCTTAATTATGGAAGGGCACATGATGCCAAAGAACTCGCGAATTTCCTGCTCGATATATGGAACAATACTTTTGAGCAATGAAGGCGGACTCAGAGGAGATGAAGGTGACGATGAGGACAATGTATCTCTTGGGGGACGCAAAGTTTTGGTGGAGAACAAAATATGATGATATTTAATGTTTGAGGTGCGTAATCAATACATGGGAAGATCTCAGCAAGAAACTTAATGCTCAATTCTTCCTTCAAATTGTGGAGTATACGTTGCATGAGACAATTGAGAGAACTAAAACAAACAAGCACTATTCGAGATTATGTGAAGAAGTTCTCAGGAATCTGGCTAGACATATGGGACATGTTCGAGAAGGACAAACTCTTCTATTTCCTTGAAGGGTTGAAGCATTTCTCCCACAATTTTTTTTTGAATTTTTTTATTTATTTATAAAATTGGACTAGTAATTTGAAGTCTCGCATGGTTTGAGTGTAATTTTATCGGAGAAAACCACGACACTAGCCGCTCTTTCTCTCTGAGTCCCAAAGAAAAACTCCAAAAATGGGGGAGGAGGGTGAAGCATCACTACCTTTCCTCCTCCTCATCTCTTCTTTCCTTTTTCTTTTGAGTTACTGTATAAGTCCACTAATGCGTTTTGAATAAGAAGCCCCTTATATGTTTTCTTCTGGCTCAGATCGAAGTTCTCCATTACTTCTTCGAGGCTATGTCTTCAAGCAAAGCTTTCTCCCGAAACCTGCTCTCTAGCACTACTCATCTTCTCTAAGTTTAGTTCTACATGGTATTTGAAGTTCATTGCCATGGTTGTTTTTTGGCATATTTATTCTCTCTTATGCACAATTAAATCGATGGAAGCCATATTTTCCCAATATCTCACATGTATTATCGCTTAAAGATTATGATGGTGGGTGTGATCGTGCTGGCGCTGTTTCAAGTGGTGGTAGTAGTGTTCATTTTGACTCCTAGGTTACTTTAGGGTTTAGGTTATTTTGGGTTTTGTGGGCTTTGTTTGAGAATTATGCTTAATGTGGTGATGTAGGCTATGGTAGTTGTTGATGCGGCTTTTGTTCGCTTTAGTTTTGTTTCTCTCAACATGTCCGTTTTGGTGCCGTTTTGTGCTTAATTCGTATTTTTGAACTTCATCTAATGAAAGCATTCTTTGATAAAAATAAATAATTTAAAATAAAATAAAAAGAAGGAAAATCTCGCATGGTTTGGTGCAAAGTGGTCTCAATACTTCCGTCAATGAAATAATCAGATGAGTTCTCAAAAACAGCAAGAAATTGATGAAAAAGGATGCTTTAGTGAATTGTCGATCAATTTTACCAGATCGATGGAGATAGATATAAATGGGAAGAGTTAACGATTACAAAATCATTAACCACAAGTCTTTCTCATCTGGGAATGTTTTGCCAGCTCTTCAAACTCCATTGTCAAAGTATATGCGTTCAACATTAGTGCTTTAAATGAAGGATCTTATATATGTTTGTCTTATTCAACAAGCTGTCAAAAACAACTTGAATTATCGGTTCCTTAATTATTCATTTTCATTGATTAAAACATTATACCACTCATTTAGCTGAAATGTCACCATCTAATCAAACTATTAATTCGTTTCCGATTTTAGAAGGATAATTCATTAACTGAGAGCTAAAAAAATAGACGATTCATAACATAGGTCACACAAAGCGTCCTTCACCTTAAGCAAATTGTTGAGAGATCTAGTTTAATAGGAAGCAAAATGGATATCATTTTGTTTCAGTGTCACTGCAACTATAAAGTTAATACCTTATATACTTGTATATTTACTTACTAGTATGCTTTGAGCGCTATTTGATACGTATGTACCAACCGAAAATGTTTACTAATTGGTTAGCGCTTTGAACGTACACTATTGTATACATATATACTAAACCAAAGAGAAAGTGATGGGGGAGGAGATAAAAGTTCGTGAATTATATTTCTTACCAGCCATGAGCATGGGATAAGATCAGGAAAGCTCAGGCGATGACGAAAGTAGGGGTACTGCCAATAGTCTTCGGAAACTTGTTCAGCTCCTCAACTTCCCTTTCAGATTTACTGACAATATCTAACTGGAAGTGTTCTGTAGTATATAATTTACCCATAGGTAAGCATAAAGTGGGATTTTGCTCATTTATAGGGTTTTACGTACTCAAATAGGTAAGCATAGTTTTGAAAACTTTAGGTGATCGATACAAGTTGAAAACTACAAGGGCCAAAAAGTTGCTGATCGCTAAAACATTAATGTCAATTTCCAAAATTTGCAGCGGTTCTCACTTTGACTTCAACACGTATTTGTTTCCCCAAATTAAGATTTCTATTTGGTCGAATAATTCCAAATAGACAAAATGATCCTATAGCTCCTACTAACCAACCTAATTCATGTTAGAATATAATGTACATAGGTGTGGACAATCAAAGATCAATCAAAGGCAGCATTAACATGCACTCAGAAATTTTAAGCATCCTTCCTAATTGTAATTAATTTGCAATTGAGATGTGGATCCAAAGCAAGTAATTTGTGTTTCTATTTTTATTTTTTTTATCAATGGGAATGGGAGATTTGAATTTGGATCCGACATTGGGAAGAGAAATATATGTGATCAAACCTAAGAAATATTTTAACATTTTATACTAGTTTTGCCGCTCATTAAGGAAAAGGTCACACTCTCCACCTAGCTATTTGTCTAAGGGCTCGTTTGGTATCTAGGATTGAATTGGATTGGAAAACTCATTAAATCTATAAGGGATGTTGAAGGAGGAAATGAAGGTAGAGGTGAATGACTTTGCATTTTGGGGGATTAGATGAGATAAGTTTTATTCATGAGTAATCCATCTTCTACCTTCAACTTGGCAAAAAAAATTTCATTTCTTCTGTTAACATGCTTTAAATATACGGAGTGATCATATCCAATCCAATTTTAGACGAAAAAGGAGCCCTAGGAATATAACTAATTAAGAAATTTGAAGCTGCATGGCCATTCATCCGAGTCCAAAAAATTATCAGATTGGAAGAGGACACTACAAGGAAAACAGGTTTTTACGGCCGTCATTGAGCGCTGTAAATTGAACTTAAGGGCCCTCATTAATTAAGATTAACTTCAATAAATTAGATAACGGTAAAACATTTCATTCAAATGCGTGTCATTGTCCTTATACATCTTTTCGTTTATTGATAATTTCATCTGTCATTTAAAAACTCATTTCTCATTTAACTTCTTTCGATTATAACTTCTATAAATTCAACAAGCTAGAGAACGTTTTCAGATGTACCTAAGCAAGAGCAGAAGAAAAACATGATCGAGGTCGGAAAGACGAACTCTGCCCTGCAGATTTTGTCATTGCTACTTGTCTTCCTAATTCACTGCCAAGCATCAACCCATTATAATTGGGTAGTATGTGCATATGCTTTCTTCAAGAACCTTTTTTTCTTTTGTTGTTGTCTTTTTTTTTTGTTAAAATGCTTTTCTTTAGGATTGCTTAATTACCCAAACTGACTCAACCTTTTTTTTATTTTTATAAGAAGGTGAAAGAAGCTACATACACAAGGCTTTGCAGCACCAAGAAAATCTTGACAGTAAATGGAAAATTTCCTGGACCAGTTTTACAGGCTCATAAAGGCGATACGATATACGTCAATGTCCATAACAAAGGCAGCCACAACATCACCATTCACTGGTAATATGTAATTTTGATAATATAATCCAATTGACTTGATTTGATACTAGAAATGGGTTGAGTCCATTAATTTGGAGGGATTAGTTTTTGTAATTTTGTTGCCAGGCATGGAGTGAAGCAACCCAGGAATCCATGGTCAGATGGTCCTGAATACATCACGCAATGTCCAATTCAACCTGGGGACCAATTCAAGCAAACGATTATATTTTCTAATGAGGAAGGAACGATCTGGTGGCACGCACACAATGACTGGGCTCGAGCCACAGTTCATGGCGCAATCTTTGTGTATCCAACACGTGGAGCTAGCTATCCTTTTCCCAAGCCTCATGAACAAGTGCAAATAATATTAGGTAACATGCCTGAATTTATACTAATATAATCATGTTTTATACTCAACATGTGTAATTAATCTTGGATTCTCTGTGAAGGGATCCATTTGTTTGTCCAAGTGATCGATTTAATCTTTAATACGGTACCAGATTAACTTTAACACGGTGATCAGAGGCATCAATATTTTAAGGTCACTTTTAAGATCATTCCACAAATGATCGATTCACACATGAGGAAGAATGTTGAGCACTAGTCAAGAATTTTTTGAGTAGCTAAGTTCAAATAAGCTTGTTGAAAACGCAGGTCAGTGGTGGAGGAGAGATGTAAGGGAGGTATTGGAGGAATTCATTAGAACTGGAGGAGCTCCGAATGTTTCCGATGCTCACACTATCAATGGTCAGCCGGGAGACCTCTATCCTTGCTCAAAATCCGGTATACACACTTTTATTATAAATCTCTCCTTAAAATTATCCTCATTTGCAATTAAGTCTTGTACTTTTCAAATTTCTTCATCAAATCCACTTCCTTTTGCAGAGACATTCAAGCTCCTTGTGGATCAAACAAGACCTATCTACTCCGTATAGTAAACGCCGCAATGAACACCATTTTCTTCTACTCAATTGCAAACCATAACCTCACAGTGGTGGGAGTAGACGGAAGCTACACAAAGCCGGTGACAACAGATTACATGACAATTTCACCCGGACAAACCCTAGATGCCTTGTTAATCACCAACCAGCAAGTTGGTCAATATTACATGGCTGCTAGGGCTTACTCAAACACTCTTCTTATTCCCTTCGACAACACCACAACCACAACAATAGTAGAATATAAAAATATTGGGAATAATTTTACTCCATTTTCTTCAACACCTCCATTGCTCTACCTTCCTTATTATAATGACACAAATGCAGCTTTCACTTTCTTTGATAGCCTTAAAAGCCTAGCTAATGAACACCACCCAATTGATGTCCCAATAAAGATCACCAATAGATTAGTCTCCGCAGTTTCAATCAACGCATTCCAATGCCCAAAAAATTCATGTGCAGGACCAAACGGGACCCTGCCTAGCTGCTAGCATGAACAATATAAGCTTCGTAAGCCCTACAACCATAGACATTCTAGAAGCCTATTATTACCATATTCATGGGATATATAAAAAGGGTTTCCCAGATTTTCCACCTCTGTATTTAATTTTACAGGGGGAAAATCTACCCCTCCTTTTACAAGTTCCAAAGAGAGGGACAAAGGTGAGGGTTTTCAAATATGGGTCAATTGTGGAACTTGTTTTTCAAGGGACAAACTTGGGTGCACCAATAGATCATCCAATACATTTGCATGGGTTTAGCTTCTACATTGTTGGATGGGGGTTTGGGAATTTTGACAAAGATAAGGACCCATTAAACTATAATCTCATTGATCCTCCTCTTAGGAACACTGTCGCTGTGCCCATAAGTGGCCGGGCCGCCATCAGATTCCATGCCGACAATCCGGGTAAGTATATAGCATATGCCCCTAAAATTAATTATTAATGGCTATCTAATATATGTATGTTGTTTTTATTTTTCCTAAGAACATTAGATTAGTCAGGAAATTGATTCCCAAAAACAAAAATCGCAAAACTATATCGATTACCAAATATATTGTTTTTTTTTTTTTTTTTCCGAACTTGGAATCTTTTTCGCTTAAGATGGAAAGAAATAGAAACAACTAAACGAAAGAGGCTAAACATGAACGATGTCTTCTAACTGCTAGTTAGTCCAAGTTGTTATTTATTTTATTTTCAATGATTTTTATTTATTTATTTACTTGTAATCATTTTTCTCATTTACCTGATAAAACAGGAGTATGGTTTTTGCACTGCCATTTGGAGCGTCACCTAACTTGAGGAATGAACACAGTTTTCATTGTAAAGAACGGAAAAAACAAGAAGGAAAGGTTGCTGCCTCCGCCACCAAGAATGCCACCCTGTTAATTAAGACTTTGTCCAAAATTAGTTACGAAACAAATTGTTTAATGATTCTGAATAACCGAACTACAATAAAATTGTGTAACATAAGCGAACGAATTGTGTAAGAAGAATGCTACATACACGAATTTGTAAACTTAAAAAAATTAAGAAAATTGCGACTATTTAGTAATCCTTAAAGAATCAACAACCTTTAGTAAAAATATTGCTAAAGAATCAACAATCTTCTCATGTGATAAAATTTCTAAACCATAATGTTGTAGCTTCATAGCATGTCACGTAATTTTCTAGGATACATCACCCTCCAGAAAGAAGAAAGATGTATCCTGAAGTAAACTTCCTTGTGTCTACACATCAACAAAGTCTGAAACTGATATATCCAACCACTTCAAAATGTCCGAATGTCCGAATGTCAGAATGTCAGAATGTCAGAATGTACGTACATGAGCCTATACAATCTTGATCCCTTGCACGTATCTCAAGACCTGATTAGTACATTTCGGTGCTCAATTTCAATGTCCCTTTCAGATTTATCAACAATATCTAAGTGGAAACAGTAGCTATAGCTAACAATTTTGTAGTCGTAGTCAAGCATATACATCATACTTATCCAAAAGCATAGGTTTAACTGCTTAAAGTGGATTATTCCTATTTTTGGTGTCTTGCGTAGTAAAAATGCTAGTTGATAGCATAAATGTCAAACATAGCTGAGTCTGCATGACTATCATTGAAAATGAAAGAGGCCAAGGTTGATGGTCTAAACATCAAAACAATTTCCCAGAGTTTTTGCGCAAGATGGTCCCAAAATTTTGCCCGATTAAGATTTCTAGTTCGTCCGATATAGTTCTACCTCCTACCATCAACTCAACCAAACCAATCCCTTCCCAATTGGTTCAACAATTCGAACCAAATTTGTGAAACTCAAAAAGTCATGTTAGTGATACTAAAAACAGTAAACATTTAATTCAATTGCGTGTTATTTCCATAATCTTTTACTTGTTAGTCAAGTGACCCACTGAGTTAAGGAATCATTCCTATCACATCCATCAAACGATCGGTGCCTTTAACTTCATTCTGTCACTATCTTTTTCTATAAATTCAACGAGCTACAAAGCTTTCAAAATTAACTAAGTGGAGTAGCAAGAGTAGAAGGAATTGATACTTGTGTTCATACGTCTGAAAAAGATGTTGTCTGGAAAGAGGAACTCTGCCCTGCAGATTTTATCTCTTCTACTTCTGTTTCTCCATTGCCAAGCGTCATCCCATAATTATCATTTTGTGGTAATTGGATTCTATCAATGTTCATGTTTTCGTTAATTTGTTACGTGCATACCTAATGTTTTTATGACCCTAATTTTCCATCAATGGTTGCATACAAGATCATATTGCTTATCCCTCCTTGTCATTTTCATTGTCAATTTCTTGAAATTCTCACACTTAAGTACATGTCTATTTTGCGTGTGCATATGCTTTGTTATTATAGGTGAAAGAAGCTACATATACAAGGTTGTGCAGCACCAAGGAAATATTGACAGTAAATGGAAAATTTCCTGGACCAGTTTTACAAGCTCATAAAGGTGATACAATCTATGTCAATGTCCACAACAACGGCAGATACAACATCACTGTCCACTGGTATATATGAATTTAATTTAACTTGAATAATTTTTTTTTCTCTAAATGGTTTGATGGGTTGATTAATTTGCTTTGAGTAGTAGTTAAATTTTGTTATTTTTTGGCATAGGCATGGAGTAAAGCAACCGAGGTATCCATGGTCAGATGGTCCTGAATACATCACACAATGTCCAATTCAGCCTGGGCATAAATTCAAGCAAAAGATTATATTTTCTGAAGAAGAAGGAACCATCTGGTGGCATGCACATAGTGACTGGTTTCGAGCAACAGTTTACGGAGCAATTATCGTCTATCCAAAACGTGGAGCTAGCTATCCATTTCCCCAGCCTCATGAGGAAGTGCCAATTATATTAGGTAATTCTAGTTCTTAAGTTTTATACTCGACATTTCCTAATTCCAAGCAATAATTGAGCATCTTCTTTTCTTTTTCTTTCTTTTTCGGACTACAATGACTGAGCCTCTTCACCAACAGCTTAAGCTCTTGTTGAAAACGCAGGTCAGTGGTGGAAAAGGGACATAATGGAGGTATTTGAAGAATTCGTTCGAACCGGAGGAGAACCTAATGTTTCTGATGCTCACACCATCAATGGTCAGCCTGGTGACCTCTATCCATGCTCAAAATCAGGTCTACAATTTAATCAAGCCTTTCACTTTTCAAAATAGTTTCATCCATCCACTACTTCATTAATTCAAAATTATCTTTTTGCAGAAACATTCAAATTCTTCGTGGATGAAAACAAGGCCTATCTGCTCCGGATAGTAAACGCCGCAATGAACAGCATTCTCTTCTTCTCAATCGCAAACCATAGCCTCACAGTGGTGGGAGCAGATGGGAGCTACACAAAGCCAGTGACAAGAGATTACATCACAATATCACCGGGACAAACGCTAGATGCCTTGCTGCTCACAAACCAACAAGTTGGCCAATATTACATGGCCGCTAGGGCTTACTCAAGCAGTCCTGCTGTTGCTTTTGACAACACCACAACCACAGCAATAGTACAATACAACAATAGAAATTCCACTCCATTTTCAAGCCCTCCAATATTACCTTATCTTCCTTACTATAATGACACAAATGCAGCCTTCAATTTCTTTGATAGCCTTAGAAGCCTAGCCAATGAAGACCACCCAATTGACGTCCCAAAAAACATCACCACTAGATTAATCTCAACAGTTTCAGTCAACACATTTCCCTGCCCAAATAATTCTTGTGAAGGACCGAATGGGACCCGCCTAGCTGCTAGCATGAACAACATAAGTTTTGTGGACCCCACAACAACTGACATCCTAGAAGCATATTATTATCATATTAATGGGGTGTTTAGAGAAGGTTTCCCAGATTTTCCACCACTGGTGTATAATTTTACAGGTGAAGATCTGCCATTGATTTTACAAACACCAAAGAGAGGGACAATGGTGAAGGTTTTTGATTATGGGTCAATTGTGGAATGTGTTTTTCAAGGCACGAACTTGGTTGCTGGGATTGATCATCCAATGCATTTGCATGGGTTTAGCTTTTACATTGTTGGAAGAGGGTTTGGGAATTTTGACCAAGACAAGGACCCATTAAACTACAATCTCGTTGACCCTCCTCATAGGAACACTGTGACTGTACCTATAAGTGGCTGGACCGCCATCAGATTCAAAGCCAACAATCCGGGTAAATACTCTTAATCAGCTGAGTTACATCCCCCTTTCGAATAGTAATTGACTATTAATATTATATTATTATTTGTTACATAAATTATATAAGATTGATCATGAGTTACCAGCCCCTTGCTCCATAATTTTAATATTAGATAAGTACAGCATATATTTGAGATCAAAAGATTAGAAGGATAAGAGCTAGTTAATTAATCTAACAGTTGGTGTATACAAGTTATCGTTGTTATTTCGTTTTTATTAATTGGTACATACTGTGATATTTTTTTTTCCAATATTGTACAGGAGTATGGTTCTTGCACTGCCATTTGGAGCGTCACGTAACATGGGGAATGAACACCGTTTTCATTGTAAAGAACGGAAAACACAACAAGGAAAAGTTGCTGCCCGCACCGCAAGAAATGCCACCGTGCTAAGAATTTGACCCATAATTATATTGTGTTAATATACAATACGATAGTGAAAAAAAATAAAAAAACTTTGTCTTTTTAATTTATTATAGATTAAGAAAAGCAAATAGAATTGGCTTAGCTGATGTTAAATAATGCACGTTGTTTGCTATATTAGGAAATACTACACTTGATTGAATTGACATTATAATTACACAGATTTTATTATATCTTCTGGTCATATGAAATTGAACGACCTGAACAATAATTACCTGATGTTCCTTCCCACATATGATTTCATCAGTCCCGATCTCTTGGACCACAAGAGTTCAAGAGATTGTGGTCACCCACCGTTGAATATTAATCCAATTGTTCAAAAAAAGTTTTTTAAAAGGAGTGTAAGAGTGAGTGAACCGTTGAATTTACATCCAACAATGAGTGACCACAAATTTCTTAGACCCTTGTAGTCCAAGAGATCAGGACTGATGATTTCATTTTAAACAAACATAGCCTACACAGACACCGATAAAATACATGTTATTTCATTTTCAGTTCACTTGTTTCCATCAACAAAATGGAAAAGTGGAAATGTACTTCTGGGTTTTTTTTTCGTACTACTATTTTCACTCACATGTTCTATTTTCCCACCTACCTTATATTCACACCCACCATGTAAATTTGAAAAAACATAATTTTATCTTTCCACCCACCATTATTCCTAAAATACCCTTTAATTAAATAATAATGCAATTAAATTCAAACCCTCTCTCTCCAATTCTCAAACAACAATGCAGAAGAAGAGCGAAGGAGGAGGAAGAAGAAGATGGACTGCGAAAGAGCCAAACCATCACTAACAACGTCGTCTCCATTCTCATCTCCTTTGACCACTGCCTCTCCGCACTTGAAACCTCCATGCGTCCTACCCATGTGGGTCTTCTCCTAACTTTCTGTTTGGGTCGCCATAAAATCTTATTCAACAAGAATATGGAACCAATAGTTTTGGTTCACTTTGAGTTTGACTTGGCCTTTACTTTTCTTAATAGAACCAAATATGGGTCTTAGAGCTTCTTGATTTTTTTTCTTTTAATTTCTTAGTGACCAAACAGCGGATCTCTCAGGAAATGTTGGGATTTTGAATTTCTTTCACAATTTTGAGCATTTGTTCATGTTTTCTTGTTGGGTTTATTTGAATATTGGATAGTACACATTTTTTCCCGAAAGCACATGAGAACGTTGATAAGACATTGTAGGTTGCGGAGGTTATAGGTGTGTTAAGTCCTTAGAAGTCATTTTATAAAGGGGTAAATTTGTCTTTAAAATTTTGAAGATAAGGTGGGTGGGAGAATAGGACAGGTAGGTGGAAATAGCAGCACTTTTTTTTTGGGTCAAGTGTACTTCTGGGTTTAGTATTGAAAATACGGACAGATTCATAAACAACAAAGTTTATTTTGTTACCCTTGTTTAGATAGTCAATAACTTTACTTTAGGGCATGTATATCTGTAATTTGTGAATTAATTTTCTTACCTTACATAGCAGATTTTTTTTCCTTATAAATGTACCACTCTGTATTGTAAAGAAACATATATGAAATACCCTTTTTACATGGTATCAGAGCTGTTATATTGATCCATTAAAACTCCCTATGTTTTCCAATCATGCATGACACAATATCCACCGGTTCTTCCAAATTTGATGGAATCTCCTCTCCCCTCCCCTTCAATTTCATCATTCTGATAACCCAGGGGTAAAAGTGCCGCCATTGGGCTAAAAGTGCTATAAAAAAAATGCAGTGTTTTGTAACGACCCGGTCCTAAATAAATTGGTCAATATTATTTTATTCAGATGCAAGACCATTTCACCCTTATAATATTTTATTAGGTTTAAAATTGACTTTTTGACCGGGAAGGAATTTGGGAATTTTTTTTTATACCGTTGCGTAGAGCACGGCGAGATGAGTCCGTAGACATGTAATGGGCTTGAATCGGAGCTGTGACAAAGAAATTACGAGCAAAACATCATCAGTGGCATAATCATAATTTCGGCGAAAAGGGTTTTGATAAAAATCTGATTTCTCTCTCTCTCTCTCCTCTCTCTCTCTCCTCTCTCTCTCTCTCTCTCTCTCCATAATCTTAATGCGGAGAAATCTAAGACAAGGCATATTAGAGAAGGCCTCTTCGTTCCATTGTGCCTCTTCGAGTTCAGGAAAGTGTATGTCAATGCCTTCAACTGCATCTGTGCCCTAATAACCTAGAGTATTCCGATAAGTTAATCAGAGTATAGAAAATGAAATGCTACTACATATGCTTAATCTTTCTGCACAACCAGTTACCTTATTGTTCCCCAACACATCAAGAATGTCGTCAGTAAGCCACAATCTGCTTTGCTTACCACGCTCCCCAAGAGACTCGGCACTAACAATTTCTTGCCCAGTTTCTTGTATGAACCTATCCATCATCACTTTATTGTCTAGAATAGTTACGAGGGAATTCTCAATGAGGACTTCTATTGCACTGCACGGGGAAACAACCATAACAATCTAGGATTTCCTCTACTCGCTTTTTCTCCATTCCTTTAAAGAAACAAACAATATCTAGAAAAATTCTCTTCTCATTGTCATTTAGGCTTTGAATAATCATCTTGACTGCATCACTTTTCTTTTTCTCAAGCAATTTACTATTCCACTCATGTAGAGAAATAGGTAGTGAGCTACGCAATTCAGCCCGTAAAACTTTAACGATTAGTTCAATATTTTGTGCTTTGTACCTACACATAAGAAATTAAACACTAATCTCACGACTCTGTAAGAATCACAACAAAGAAGTTTTTTTTTTTGCAGTTTTCTTCATTGAACTGCTTGTGCTACAAACAAAATTGTGAATGTCTGTCCTACAGCAACAAGTGACCATACTAAAGATAGCAGAAAATCTGTACTTTTCGCAAAGAATAGAATTACTCACCGATCTCGTGCATGCCAGCCAGGGAGACTGGGTACTACAAGAAGAGCAGCACTCCAATTTGACACTTTCTTTATATGGTCTACGGAAACGTGCTCCAAATTCCCGCCCTGTTTTTGCACCTCAGCTGGATCCACGTCGAAGTAAACCGCCAGAACTGCCTGTCCCATCTCTTTCCTGCATTTAACGATCTTCTCAAGCTCATTCAAGCACCGTATGGAATGGGCGTATTTTCTTGAAAGAACAAGGATTGAAAATCTTGAATTTTCAACTCCTCGGCATGTCGTCGCCACTGCAACTGAGGTAAACATCATATTTCCATCTACGGTCTACAAGAAGAAGAAGGAGTTGAGTTTGCTTCAGCAGCCATGGAAGTCAACTCAAATTCCTGGGGTCTTCGTTACGGGATCAAAGGCAGGTAAATAGACAAGAGAGGAAAAGGCAGAGCCGGCGAGTGATCTTCAAAGTTTACCATAGATGGTTTTTTTTTTACATAATCTGAGACCATAGATGGGTTATGGTCAATGGATCATTGCCATGAAATACTCCAATGCGCAGGAGTGAATGAAAAAGAACCTCTTCATCACAGATATATATTATCTGTATATTTCACATGATGATCGAGAGAAGAGAAAAAAAAAAAAAAAAAAAAAAAAAAAAAGGGTATTTGTTTGTGCTTGGGATCGCCCGTTTACGCAGCACTGCCTTTTTGGACCTTCTTCACAACGTACCAAAATGATAATTCTGCTGCTGCTGATGATGATGATACATTGCACTGCCTTTGTGATTTTTCTACATGTATTTTTCTTTTCGCACGCGCTTCCGCACCTGCGAAATGTTTTATTTATTTATTTTAAATTTTAAATTTATTTTAGAATTAATAAAGATAATGATTAGCTTTGTTGTATAAAAATAAAATTTATTATCTGAATTTTCTTTTAACTTTAATTTTTTAAATATAAAAAAGTGTGAATTTACCATATTATCCTCATTTAATTAATAATTTCAATTCTTAATATTTATATTAACCAAAGAAATTTTCTAGTATTTTGAATGTTCTACTATTTTCTACTTTTTATTTATATATACAAATACAGGTGATAATTTCACAAATCCCATTCACTATTATAAAAACTTTATATAAAAAAATAATAATAAAATCGTCGGTTTATTATATGACCCACCTCGTTTCCTCACCCATCTGTCCTGTCAGTGGGATGGGAAAGTATTGTCCTTTAACATGATCAACTTTTGTTTTGTCCTTTTAATGGATCAAATCTGTGAAATTATCGCCTTTTGTCATTGTTCTTGATTCCTTTTTTGTTTGATATTAATAACCCTTATGTAGCCATTAACCATGTACGCATTAAAATCGTCCATGTCGTTGTTATAGATGACGTGGAAGAGAAGTGACATTCCACATCTCCGATGACATTGCGACAAGTGAATAAGATTAAAAAAATATTTCATCGTAGCAAAATTAGACACGTGGCTTCCTCAACCATAGTTTTGTTTTGTCCGCTAGATCGAAGGATGTTTCTATTTGTCATATGACCCCGCCTCGCTTCCTCACCCATTGACTTGAGCATCTGCATGCCAGTATTCTACGATGTGGATCCTTCTGATGTACGAAAGCAAAGGGGCCGTTCAAATCTTGGATTCTTGATTTTACCAAAAATTCATCCAATAGCCTCATGCTAACTCTTGCAGCATCTTCACTTCATTTCTTTGTCTATTTCTTTTTATTCATATTCGATCACATTCCGATCACTTTCTTTTCTTCCTTGTAGCGATGAACCAGAGCTCATCAAAGAAATTGTTGCATGCATACTATCTAGAGTACATCCTGACTCTCAAGAAAAGCTGGTTGGAATTGATTCAAGATTAGAACAACTGGATTTGCTTTTAGATGCAAGGTCAGAAGATGTTCTCCAAATAGGGATATGGGGGATGAATGGAATAGGTAAGACAACCATTGCCAAGATGCTTACGAGAGAATTCTTCATAAATATGAAGTCGCAAGCTTTCTTGGCGGTGTTAGAGAGGATTCTGAGACAAATGGTCTAGTCAGTCTACAAAAAAGCCTTTCCAAGAGCCTTTTGAATAGAGATACAGAAGATGGGGGCATTCATGAAAAAGCCCTAATGAATAAGTTAAGCCAAAAGAAGGTTCTTCTCATTCTCGATGATGTGGACCATATAAGTCAGTTAGATAAATTATGTGGAAATCAAGATTGGTTTGGTCCGGGGAGCAGAATCATTATTACAACTGTAAATGAACAACTGCTAATTGCAAATGGTGTGGAAAGAAGATTTAAAGTGCAGGAGTTAAATGAAGATGATGCTCTTCAACTTTTTAGCTGGAGAGCCTTTAAAAGAGATTATCCAGATAAAAAATTTACAGATCTGTCAATAAGTTTCTTGAATTATGCCAAGGGACTCCCATTAGCTCTTAAAGTGCTGGGATCATTTTTGTATAAAAGAGGTCAAGATTCATGGAGCAGAGCATTGTGCAAACTGAAGGAGGTTTACAAGGGAGATGTTATGGATACCCTTAAAATAAGTTATGATGGATTAGACGAACAGGAAAAAAATGTTTTCGTTGATATCGCATGCTTCTTTAAAGGAAAGTGCAAAGATCAAGTAGTTGAAATGCTAGACAATATGGGCTTTTGTTCGTGTAGTGTTATGGATGTTCTCATTGAGAAGTCTCTGTTGACAATCTCAGATAACAAGGTTTGGATGCATGATTTGTTACAAGATATGGGATGGGAAATTGTTCGTCAACAAGCTACAGAACCTGGCAAACGCAGCAGGTTGTGGCATTCTAGGGACATGTTTCATGTATTGACCAATGATTCGGTAAGAACTTATATATGGATATACAAAGTATAGATAAATCTAGCAATCAACAGAACACAAAACAGACCATTGATAATACTAATCTTCATCTCCTTGTGATCTGTGATCTTTGGACCAGTTATCCTTTATTATATTATGCAATTCACTTGTTTTTATTGTTCGTTATTAGGGGACCACGGCAATTCATGGCACGTCCCTGGACTTGCCTGAATCTAAAGAGGCACAGTGGGATTTCAGAGCCTTTTCTCAGCTGATTAATCTTAGTTTCCTTGAGATTCGTGATCCCCAAGGCCTCGACTGTTTTTCTAATTCCTGGGGGTTTCTTGAATTGAGTGAACATCCTTTAAAATCTCTCCCAACAGGTTTCCAGCCGGAGAACATTTCTGAACTCAGCATGCATGATTGTAGCATTCAACTGCTTTGTAATGGAAAACAGGTGTTTACAACTAAAGCATTTTTTTTTCTTAAAAAAATCTAATTATTCTTCATTTCTTATAACTCAATACAGAATTTTTTCGGCTTGAAAGTCATCGATCTTCGTCATTCTCTAAATTTGACAGAAATCCCGGATCTTACAAGCGTCCCAAATCTTGAGAGATTATGTTTTAAGGGATGAAAACGTCTAGTTGAGATTCACCCATCCACAGGAGTTCTCAAAAGGCTGATTTCCTTAAATCTTGAAAATTGCAGAAGTCTAGAGAGTCTTCCAAGTCAGATTGCAATGGAATATCTTGGAAGTCTTATTCTTTCTGGTTGCTCAAATGTTAAAAAGATTCCTGAGTTTGGGGGAAATATGAAGCATTTGTTGGATATTTCCTTAGATGGGATTGCAACTGAAAATATACCTTTGTCTGTCGAACGCCTGACTAAACTTTCTTCTCTGGATTTGAGAAATTGCATAAATCTTCTTTATCTTCCAAGTAACATTGGCAAATTGACGTCTCTTCAAAGTCTTCATCTTTCTGGATGCTCAAATCTTGACGCACTGCCTGAAAGCTTTGGAGAACTACGGTGTTTGGAGAAGATTGATTTAACTGGAACTGCTATTAAAGAATGGCCGTCTTCCATTGTCCTTTTGAACCTTAAATCATTATTTTTTCGTGGACCAAAAGGGCCGTCACGACAACCATGGCATATGGCTCTCCCTTTTCGATTAAGGCCAATGAAGAGCCGTCAGCATATGAATTCCTTCTTGCCTTCTCTTTCTGGGCTTCGTTCTTTAACTGAATTAGATCTAAGTGATTCAAATCTTGTTGAAGGAGCAATCCCTGCTGATATAAGCTGCTTATCCTCTTTAGTATCTTTGAATTTAAGCGGAAACAATTTTCATAGCCTTCCTATAACCATTAGCCTACTTTCATAGCCAAATTTGAGTGATTGCAAGAGTCTTCAACAGCTTCCGGTCCTTTCATCATATATAACTTTAAAAGTAATTGCCGATGGTTGTACTTCACTCAAAACGTTGCAATATCCGTCAAATTTGGACAAACTGAAGTCCTCATGTTTCAATTTCATCAATTGCATTGGGTTGGTTGACAAAGGAGGCTACAAGAAAATAGCATTTAGTATGCTCAAAAGATACCTTAAGGTTCTCTGTCTCCCTGTCTTTCTCTGTGTGTGTGTGTGTGTATCTCTCCCTCTCTCTCTCTCTCTCTCTCTCTCTCTGTGTGTGTTTAACGTCGTAGTGTATATTGTGCAGAGAGTTCCATATCCTGGCGATAGATATGAAATTGTAATTCCTGGAACTGAAATTCCTTCATGGTTCAGCCATCAAAGAGTGTGGTCTTCAGTAAGTGTACAGCTCACTCCGCGTTGGCATGATAATAAGTGGAAGGGATATGCTCTGTGCACTGTTTTTTAAGTATTTGGCAGTGGATGGGAGCTCAATTGTTTTTTGAAAGTCAATGGGAAAGAACAGTATCCTGCACCTCTATTAGTAACTAATGTCCAGCCTTTGTCAGATCATCTTTGGCTATTGTACATCTCTCGTGATTTAAAATTTGGGAATGAGTGGCAACACAGCTGCAATCAGTTAATATTTTCATTCAAGAGCTCAGGCCCCAGCTTGGTAAAGAAGTGTGGTGCCCGTTTGGTGTATGAACAAGATGTTGAAGAGTTCAACAGAATGTTGACCCATTCCAGACGCACAATTTCACCTTATGAGGCTACGAATGTCCATCATGATGAAAACTCTACATCTGTGCAAGGTGCCATTGTCCAGCCAAGTTACAATCACTGTGAGTGGAAAGGACTATATGGAAGTAGTAGTTTTCATGAGGAATCAGAATTCAAAAGATTTCGAAGAATATGAAAGTTTTGATCACTGGATGCCCCTAAATAGTCTTAGAGGCTAATATGGTATGATACTTCTCTCAAGATAGTCTGTCAGTCACAATCTCAATTTCTGTGAGTCAGTAGATGTGTTTCATAGTTGTTTATGCTAACATTTTATGTTCTTTTTCTTTTGTGTTTGGTGTTTTTTGTTTACTTGTGAAAATATACTACTTTTGTCAGTCGAACACCTGGCAAGACTTTATTTATTGCAAATGAGAAATTGCATGAGACTGAATTCTCCTGTTCTAAAAGGTTTATTCCTTGAATCTTAAAGATCGTAAAAGTCTAGAGAGTCTTCCAGGTCAGTGAAAAAGTCTAGAGAGCCAGTTGATGTGTTTCACAATTGTTTACGCTAACATTCTATGTTTCTTTTCTTTTAAGATTATTCATCAAGTGGAGTATAGCTTGGTTAGTTGAGTTCTTTCTCCTCTCCACTCATGTGGGCAGAGGTTCAAAACCCACATGCAACCAATGAATATTTTTGTAAATCCCCTTCCTCTAATCGCTTGTACTAAAAATAAAAAAAGATTAATCCATTATTCTACAAATAAAAAATTCAAATCCGAATAAAACACGAAATATTCAAATGCTCAATATTAATACTCAATAAACTGTATTCAACATGATTGTCCTCAATAAATATTACCATATGGTCATGTCATGTCAATTAATACTCTAGACCATAGTCTAGAGTCCCTTTAATATACCTTAGCACTCATTTAACAATTCCATAGTGCTTATTTGTAGGGCAATGCATGAAACGAGCAAGAAGATTAGAAGCATACATAATATCTGGTCTGGTGGTAGTTAGGTACAATAGGCTACCTACAATGCTTCTATATTGCTCTTCACTTGCTGCTCCACTTCCATCATCCTTAACTAGCTTTTTAGTTGCTACAAGGGGTGTAGTTACAGACTTGCACTCATTTAGGCCAAATTTGTTCAATAAAGAACCTGCGTACTTCTTTTGGTGAATGAATATGCTTGAGTTCGTTTGAACCACTCCCATGCCAAGAAAATGATGTAGAAGACCCAAATCTGTCATCTCATATTTCATCATCATCTCTTCCTTGAATTCATCTAACAATTCTTTGCAGCTCCCTATATACAATATCATCAACATAAATAGAGACAATTAGAATATCTCTGTCTCCCCTTGTCTTAGTATACAAGGTGGCTTCACTTAGGCTTTTCTCAAAACCACAATGCATGAAGTAGGTGTCTATCTCTCCATATCAAGCTCTAGGAGCTTGTTTTAAACTATAAAGAACTTTGTGCAGCCTATAAACTTTATCTTCCTTGCCTTTGATCACATAACCCTCTGGTTGGTCTATATAGACCTCTTTTTGCAATACACCATTTAGAAAAGCTGATTTTACATCAAGATGGTACAGCTTCCACTCCTTCTAAGCAGCCAGAGCAATGAGAGTTCTAATGGTGTCCAATCTAGCCACAGAAGCATAGGTTTCATTGTAATCCAGTCCAGGTTTCTGAGCATACCCTTTTGCAACTAACCTTGCCTTGTTCTTTTGAACTAAACCATCCAAGTTTAGCTTGGTTTTGTAAACCCACTTGACTCCAATAACTGGTTTCTCATTTGGTCTGTCAACCAATTCCCAAGTGCCATTTTTCTCAATCATTTGGAGTTCATCTTCCATAGCTTTTAGCCATGCCTTGTCTTGAGCTGCCTCTGCTATCTTTCTAGTTCAATGATGCAGATATTGCACTGTGCAAGCACATCATCTAACCTTCTCCACTTCAATGATGAGTGATCATAAGCTTGAGTGTTCCTTTCCTCACTGCTTATGTCACTTGAGATATGTTGTGATGGTGCTTGAGAAGATGATAGACTCCTTTCATATTGGGTTTGAGTCTGAGGTGTTATTGCGACATTCTCAGATTTATCTCCTATAACGAAGCCATGCTCACTTAGACTTTCATCATGAAGTGGTGTCACAGCTTTGCCATAGTGTTCTATCCAGTTCCAAGATCCTTCCTCATCAAATGTGACATCTCTTGACAAGGTGAGTTTCTTGGAGATTGGTTCAAAAATTCTATAACCTTTCTCACAGGTTGCATAGCCAACAAACGCTCCCTTCACACTTTTAGGTTCTAGTTTGTGTCTTAATTCATTAGGCACATGAACATAACACAAGGAGCCAAAAACTTTCAGATGCGCAATGCCCGGCTTTCTTCCACTATAAGCCTCAAAAGGTGTGACATTGTTCAAAGCCTTGGTAGGACATCTATTCAAGATATATACAACTGTGTATACAGCCTCTGCCCAAAGAAAATAAGGTATTTCCTTTTCATGTAGAATAGACTTAGCCATTTCAACCACTATCCTGTTTTTCCATTCTACCACTCCATTCTGTTGAGAAGTATAGGCCATTGTGAGCTGCCTTTGAATCCCATGATGATCTTCACAAAACTTTATGAACTCAGAAGATAGAAATTCTCCACCTCTGTCACTCCTCAAGCATTTCACCTTGTGTCCAGATTGCAACTCAATCATGGATTTAAATTTCTTGAAACAGTTAAAGGCTTCAGACTTGTTTCTTAAGAAATAAACCCAAATCATTCTTGTAGAGACATCAATAAGTAGCATGAAGTACTTGTTTCCTACAATGGACTCATTTCTCATGGGTCCACAAAGGTCAACATGAATTAACTCAAGAGGAACACTTGCTCTTAGAGCTTGGCCTTTTGGAAAACTAAGTCTATGTTGTTTGCTAAATTGACAACCCTCACACACACCACTTTGTTCTTCTAATTGTGCCAGTCCATGCACCATGTCTTTATCTCTTAATTATTTTAAACCCTTTAAAATGCAAATGTTCTAGCCTTTTGTGCCAAGTCCATATGCACTGAGTGATACTAGCCTTCATGACCAATTGGTTTTCAGCTAGGAGGGATAGGGGATAGCATCTGTTCTTCTTCATTGGAACTTTGATGATGAGGTAGTTCATTGAAGAACTATCAAACACCTTGCACATTCCACCTCCAAACACCAGAAAATATCCATGCTCATCCATCTAACCAACACTCAACATATTCTTTTTTAATCCTAGAAGATACATCACTTCCCTAATGTACTTCCTTCCTTTTGTTGTGTCAATGACCAATGAACCCATGCCAGCCACCTTCACAAGTGCACCAATTGGGATTTGTACCTGTCCAGCCACATTTGTTTTCACATCCACAAGTAAATCAACATTGCCAGTCATGTGATTACTACAGCCACTGTCAATATACCAATCTCCATTTGGTTTTGACTCAATGGTAGCACAATTTGAATAAAACAGATTTCCAGTCACCTCCTTTTGACTTGCACAGTTTGCCTTATGCACAGCCTTCTCTGCAGTGTACTCTCTAGCCAAGTGACCAAACCTGTCACAGTTGTAACACTTTGGCTTGCCTTTATACCTGCATTCTCCAAAGTGATACTTGGAGCACACCTTGCATTGGGGTTTTACAGCTTCTTGACCTATAGATGAGCTGTGAGTCTGCGCAGAATTATTCCATTTGAGGCTTGCCTTTTGATTCCTAAGGTTTGCCTTTTGGATTCCAATTTTTCTGAGCCTTGGATGGACCAGAATGAGCTGCATTCTTATTCTGGCCTTTTGAACTCACTGTGAACGAGGCAAAAGCTTTCTCAATTGCATCTGCGTTGTGCAACTCAAAACGTTGATCTTGACTTTTCAAAATAGCAATTACTTCTTGCTATTCCACAGTCTCTAGACTCTTAGTGTTTTCAATCACTAAATAAATGGGGTCATATACCTTGCTAAGACTAATCAAAACCTTTTGCCCAAGCCTCTCATTCAAGAGCACTTCACCATATGTTTTCATTTGATTAATCAGATCATTCAGTCTAATAAGGTAAGCAGACAAAGACTCATTATCATGCATTCTAGTATATTCAAATTCACGTATGAGATTTTGAAGTTTTACTGATCTAACGTGATCTCCACCATGAAATTCTCCATACAACAGCTCCCAAGCCGCTTTGGCAGAGTCTGCATTTGCAATTCGTGGGAAAATCTGATTTGAGACTGCATTTTGGATAATACCCAAAGCCTTTGCATCCTTCATGAGGATTGTAGCTGCTTTCTCATCATCTTCTTCCTCTGAGGTCTCCTCATTTGCCTTCTTCTTCTTCTTCAAATCTGAAACTGGAATTCCCTTCTCTACCAGATTCCAAAGCCTATATGATTTGAATATGGTCACCATCTTAATCTTCCAAAACTCATAATTTTCACCAGAGAAAATTGGGGTTCTCACCTCTGAGCTTCCGGATCCAGCCATGGTTGGTCTCTGATTATTCCAAAAACGAGTTGTTTTCAGATTTAGAAGAAAAAATTTCCCGATGATTTTTCCTTTCACAGATTGAACGCCCAACTCTTTAGATAATCGAACTTGGCTCTGAGGCCATGTTAGTGTTTTCAGGTGTGTGTACTCAGAATTTGCAGAAGGAAACAAAAGGAGGAAGAAGCAAGAAGAATTATCAGAAAATCTGTCTGCTATACGTGTAGCAACAGAGTGTTCATTCACAGCTCTCTCTTACAACCTCACGCACATAGTGTGAGGGATATATCTGTTATGCATAGTAGCTGGATCTCTTACATCACAAGATGATCTCAGCCGTTCACTTAGGCAACCAATAGGAAGCTTACACTTGTCATAAAAAGAAATAAAATGGAAAACTAATTAAACTAACTCTTAAGTCAGCTTAAGGCTTATAATTCAACACTCTCAAACGCCTGCTTCGCTATCTCAAGGGTATTGTTTATCACAGCCTTCATCTTTACATGCCTTCTCTTATGCGGAATGGGTGGGAAATTATAATATTGATGACACCTCCACCACTGCTTACCCAATTTTTCTTGGGGGCAATTTGATATCTTGGAGTTCCTGCAAACAACGATCTGTTCCACGTTCCTCCATTGAGGCTGAGTGATCGCGTCGTTGCTTGCACCGCTGCGGAGCTCTCTTGGTTGCACAACTTACTTTGTGAATTGGGAGTCTCTCTCCCTTACCCTCCAATGATTGCATGTGACAATATTGGTGCTACTTTCTTGTGCGAACCTTGTTCTGCATTCCTACGTGAAACACATCGCCATTGATCGTCAATGTTTCCTTGATCTTGTCACTCAAGGCCATCTCAAGGTTGCTCATGTTTCGACTCTTGATCAGTTAGTTGATGCCTTGATGAAGCCACTTTCTCGCCAGTGGTTCCACCTTCTCCATTCTAAGATTGGAGTCCCCGACGACAACTCCATTAGGCGGGGGTGTATAAGGAAAGCTGAAACTGAAGTCGTGATCTCCTCTCAATTATGCAAATAATCCTCTGTAATTGATTTTAGTTTCCTAGTCCGTATAGTTGAGGTTTTTGTCCTGATTCAATATATTGTTATTTTTCATTTTCTAATATTTATAATATTTTACTTTAATTTTTAATTATTTTCGTCTAAATTGACTGTTTTAACCTCAAATTGATGGTCAAGTTGAAAGACCTAATTGCAATGGATGGTCAAGTTGAAAGACCTAATTGCAATGAATGGTCGAGTTAAAAGGCCTAATTGCCTTAAAAATGTTCGAAGACCAAATGAAATCACGTATAAGTTCATGGACCGTTGAAGTTAAAAACCCAATAGTAGGATGTGGCTAGGACTCCCCTTTGTCTCAAACTTGATACAACACAATTTTGTTCGTTCTAATGTAACAAACACAAATTTCAGCAAACGGGACACCAACGCGTCCAGCTAGCAGCTTAAACACCAATTTTTTCTACATAATTATGGGTAAACAACACAAGCTAGACAAACCTTAGCTGCTTTATTTTTTTTAATGCGACCTTAGCTGCTTTATTCTTCACTAAAACTCACTCACTCTCAACATTTGCCACATTGGCAAACCTATGAAAAGCCATAACATCTTATACCATATTTGGCTCCTTATTAAACCCTCACTCAAATCACTTGAAAGTCACTCCTTCATTTCGAACAGCCACAGCAGTGAGAGGGTTCTTCATCTCACATGAAAGCTTCAACACCTCACTTAGATCAACCGGGTTACTAGCCACATCTTCAACCCAATTGAAATGGTGCACCAACTTAGCCACCCAAAGGCTCACTGTCACGAGCCCTAGGGTTTTACCAGGACAAACCCTACGACCTGCTCCAAATGGTGCAAGCCTAAGGTCCCCTCCCCTCACGTCCATGTCAGCACCACCCTCACTCTTCAAGAACCTTTCTGGCTTGAACACCAAGGGCTCTTCCCATATGTTTGGATCATGGGTGATGGCCCACATGTTGACCATCACGGTGGTGTTTGCAGGGACCACCATGCCGTTGCTGAGTTGGACATCCGACGTTGACAGCCGGGCCCACGATAGGAGGGGCCCAGGTGGGTGTAGACGTAGAGTCTCGTTAACCACAGCTCGGAGATAGGGTAAGTTGGCCACATCTGCTTCTGTGAGAACTTTCTTTCCCACAACTAGGCCAAGTTCATGGCGAAGTTTGGCTTGCACATCCGAGTTCAAAACCAACTCAGCCATGACCCACTCAGTCAAAAGGGCAGTCGTATCAGTTCCACGGAATATCATTTCCTGCACAGGAAAAAAGCACAGTTTGATGAATAAAATCAGTATATAAATAGGAATAGTTAAAGAGTAATGTTACAAACACATACTAAATCACATGATATTGCACTTCTCTAGAGGTTTGGCCATTTCTGTAGAGTGGTTTTTTTTGCTATGTACATTTATTTACTACTTTACCGAGTACCTCTCTAATATAGGTGAGATGTATTTACATAAGTTGCTCTCACCTCTATGAATTAGAAAGATGGTTAGTAATGTGGTAATAAAAGTGTCGTACAATTATAGGTTTATCGATTTATATAAGTAGGTCATGGTTAGTAAATGTGCCAGGTTACAACATTTCTTCCACTTATCAAATGTCACATCATATATATATATATATATATAGTCATCTAATATAATTTTTAAAAAATGAACAAAACTAAAGACCATAGAATTAGAAAATGTATACAAACCCATAAGACGGCCACCATGTCATCCAGCTCAAGCTTCTCCTCTCCATCCAAAGAAAGCAAGACATCAACAAAATCGGAGTTATCACGAACCCTTTCAAATTTATCAAGTCTGTGCTCCTCAATAATTTCCACAACCACTTTTCTAACTCGAGGAACAAGCGAGGCACATCGATTTTTAATACGAAAAGGATCATAAAAGCTGCTCAGCCATGGGAGATAATCAGACCAATTGAAGGCTCCCAAAAGCTCGAACCCTTCTCTAACAATCTCATGCAACTCTCTGGCTTCCGCATTATTGCATGCAACATAATACCTCTTACCAAACACCGTGCCCATGATATTGTTTAGAGCAGCAGCTTGTAGATGTTTTCTTAGACCAACAACTCCACAAAGAGTCTGTTCATTATGAATAGAATTCAACATGGTGGCACAATCAAACTGTCGTCCATCTTCGTGTGCGGCAATGCGTTTAGGAGTGAAGAGGTGAACGGATGCAATTTTTCTCAGAAGTCTCCAGTATGATCCATTTGGTGCAAAACCAATAGCGCGGCTGAACATGAGGCACTTAGCAGATTGCTTAATAGGGCGGTCGGCGAAGTGGGAAGAGGTTAAGATTTCTTTAGCAATATTAGGGTCAGAAGTGATTACAGCAGGGGTTGAGCCCAAACTGAAGGCCATGAGTTTAGTGGCTGCATGGCTAGAAGCCATGCAAGCCAAGGTACGATGAGGCAGGGCATGGCTCAAGCTGAATAAGCTACCAAAGAGCGGGAGGCCTCGTGGTCCGGGTATCGAGACCCGACCCATTTGGTTCCTGCCATTTTTCCAGGCTATGCCTCCTCTTGAAAAAGCCCAGGTTAAGAGGGTTAGAGATAGAAATGATGCAAGTATGGCCAGGAAAAAGAAACCATTGAGCAAGATTTCTGTTCCCAAATGTGCAATGGCATCAATTGAAAACATCCGCCAGCTTATTGGGTCGATTGGGGTTGGAATTGAGTTCATTTTTAGACCGTGAAGGAATTGGGTAGCTAGAGCTTTGGGAGGTGGCCAGAGAAGAGGAGAAAGCTTGGTTTAAATAAGTGTCATGTAAAAATAAAAAAATAAAAATTATGGCTGATGATGGGGAGATAGCGTGAATGAAGAGTGGGTTTATTAGACCGACATGTATGCGTGTGCATGTGTGTGAGCAAAATCAAGGCAAGGCAAGTTACATTATTTACAGCTTGATGCAAGGAGTGATCGTTTGTTGATTGGTATATCTGTTCCACCTTCTGAATATGTATAAATCAAGTATCTTTCACTTGATTGGTCAATCAAGATTTTCTACACATATAACTAATCTAGAGGATAAAGATTGTGATGAGCCACATTATGTGAAGAGATCAACCAAAGCTTTCTAGGGCAACCAATTTTTTAAAAAATTTAATTTTGACCAATTATTTGAAGAAACCAAAACATAGAATTCGACATTTTCGTATCGAAACCAATTATTTGGCATTCTAGGATAATCAAGAAGTCACAGATTTTTTTTTTCCATGAATTATTGTTTATTAGACTCATTATTGACCTTCAGGAGTTATTGATAAGCTACTCAAAATCATGGTTAAAGGTGACTCCAGAATCTTCATTGACTATATATCTTAAGGGGAATCATGCATTTGGCTTCTTTCTTTCAATGAATTCAGTTTTGGGAATGGTTGGGGAAGCTAATTTTGTAGCTGATGTGTTTAGTAATATGGCTAGCGAAAAGCTTGGAATCCAGGTTGTTGGCAAGTCCTTGTAACTACCATTTTTCTAGCCAAAAAAAAATTGCGTCGTAGTTTTCAGTTGTAATGCAAGAAACATACGTTTGAACTACAAAAGTTCACCAACATGTTACATGCTATTGATTTAGTGGTATTTGTATTCTCAATCGTTGAAAGAGTTCCCGAATTTGAATCTCTTTTTCTCTCCAGCTTATACATGAATAGAAAAATAAAATAAAAATATTCAAGGGCGATCCAAAATTGTATATTTTTTTGGGAGAGGGGAAGAGAAGGCGAGCTATGAACAAGTGGAACACGGTTTCATATGACTTGGGATTCAAAATTTGAATGTTTTTGTTTTTGTTTTTGTATGAAATATTAATCATATTCGAAAATGGCAACTTGAACTGCCACCTTGTTGGTCGACATAACTTGCACATTATTTTACACTTTATGCACCCGAATCCCAAAAGCAAGTTCATACATTAACCAAGTAATTTCCATGTAATCTAGGGCCTGTATGCACGTGTATCCAGGTTTGATCAAGTTTAGGCCTAAAATGAAGTGAGCTCCTAAAATGAAGTGAGCTCCTTCTTAGGAGAGATTATAAAATACTATGGTAGTACGGTCATGTGGTAGATTTTGTATATGTGTTATAATATAAGTAGATATTTATAGATATTATTCCCTAAAAGGAGGGAAAATAAACTATGTCTTCCACCCAAATTATAACACGTGTACAATATGTACTACGTGACCATACTACCGTAGTATTCTATAATTTCTCCTTCCTAGAATATATTATTTCGGGTTCAAATTTCTATCTTCCCCAACTAACCCACAATGCCTATTCACCATTTTATTTCTTTTGCCAAATATTCCCCATATTTATTGATTCTTTTCTTTAGAAATCAAGGTAAAATTTCCTGTCTCTCTCCTTGCCATTGTGCTCTAAGTACCAGTTTGGCATTGCTTATTTGGGATGATAAGTGATTTTAAAAAAAATTTGAGAAGCCCAACCCGTTTGGTAAACTGTGAGAAAATCACTTATTGTTAAAAACTGCTGTGAGAGAAAGCTATAAGGGAAAGCAGCTAATGAGGTGCTTTCATTTTCTGATTATGCAGGAATCAGTTTCGAAGAGGTGCTGGGTTTAATGATTATGCGACAATCATTTTCTTATTATACGTAAAATCAATCCCAACAACACTTTTAACAAAAATTTTACCAAACACCAAACTGCTTTCTCTCAAAGCTGATTTCTCTCACAGCAAATCTGACAGCGATTATTTTCACAGCACAGCAATGCCAAACTGGCCCTAAGCTTTCTTTGGGTACTCTATTCAATCTGCAAGTAGTTTGTTTTTTCTTTTTTGCCTTTTCTTTTATTACGGACCTAGCTTTTGCTCAAATTTTCTATTTGTTTTTCCGCACTTCAAATTAATATTTTATTATTAATGAAAAAAAAATCAGAAGTTTATCATTTATACTAGCCCCTTGGCACATGTGCCAATTGGTTTTCTTTTTTCTTTTTTCTTTTTTCTTTTATTTTTAGAATTAAGAAAATATAACATGGGTAGTTATGTTCCTTAAAAGTAAGACCTATTATCTGGTTTTGTTTTTAATTTTAATTTTTTTAATATAAAAAATATGAATTTACCATATTATCCTCATTTAATTAATAATTTCAATTCTTAATGATTGAATTAACCAAGGGCATGTACTGGTATTTTGAATGTTTCACCATTCTCTTCCTTTTGCTTTATATATATAGATTCCAATAAGAGAATAAATAAAAAAGAATAAATCTCAATATCAAGATACCCAACTCATACATAAATAAAAGGAGAGAAATAAAATAAATAAAAATTACAAAGTTTCAGTTAATCTTCGCTCATTCTCAATAGGTGCAGACACACTTTAGGAAATTTTGTAGACATAAGGCAATGAACTGCCTATTTGGGCGTGCTTCTGGGATGGCCAAAAGCGCTTTCTAATAACTAAAAGCGTTTCTAACAGTGTTTGGTAGAAAAATTTAGAAGCGCTTCTAGGTCATAGAAGCGCTTCCTAAAGAAGCACTTGATATGTGCTTCTTCAAGAAACACTCCCACGTGCTTTTCCACGAAGCACTTTAATTTTTTATGAAAATTCAAGATTTTTATAATAAAAGCACTTTTGTTAGAAGCGCTCATGAGCAGAAGTACTTCCTAAAGAAGTATTCCCAAACGAGAGCCCAAAAAACAACAAAGGAGAAAGAGAAAGAAACGTTAACAATCTAGGAGTTTTTAGTGCAAATATCATAAACTAACCTAGAAGATTTAGTCCCTCTCATCGCATTTCGTTTAGTCATGCGATGGCAAGTGACCACCTTTAAATGAGTATTTTCATCAAAATACATCGATATACCCATGACACAAAATCAACATCACATTTTTTGCTCAACAAGGCGATATACTCTTCTTGATGGAACTGAATGTGAAACCTGAAATGAAGAGCAGATGGCCTATAGTTGAACAAAAAAATGATCTCCTAGCTAGGTATTTAGATATATTTTGATGAAAACAACACTTTAAAGTTGGTCATATGAAAACAACACTTTAAATCGATATACCAAATGAAGAATAACTACATTGATTCGAGGCTTCAAAGTTAAATTGAGAACTTTTAAAAGATTCATTATCACATGTGATTAAAAAAAAATACAAACAAACTAGAATACAGACCACTCAATTTTCTAAAAATTTCCCACCGCAGTTGTTGTCCATTTACAATGCCCAATTGCTCGTAGTCCGTTTAAGTAGGCTTTTGCAATTCAATCACAACACACACGCAGTTAGATTCCCAAGTCTATGGAAATTATCAAGGCACCTTACTTTTTGCTAATCTTATATTTTTGTGTTTTACCTTCACATGCGGGGTGGGACATTGGTTTTATCAAGGAATTATGTAGATTTTCTAGGTATCACTCTACGAGCACACATTCCGGCTCATGGTGTCTTCATCACCACCGCATAATTAGACTCTAATTATGTGAGGGCAAATCTTTTTTTTTTTTTGGGTTAGGTCAGAGTTAGAGGTCAATTTGTTTTAATTTATGAGTGAAAATTTATTTTTCCAAATATCCACCACCATTCCATGTTTAACTTTTCTGTCAACCTATTGTCGTACCATGGTTATTATTTCCTTTGAGACGGCTTTTATTAATTGACTAGATATTATGGTCACACGTCAACTATCACCAATTATATGAACTCTACTTAAGATAATGTGTGGCTACTGAAATGAAGATGTGGCTTAGTCGGGAGTGGACACATGTACAAATAAAGAAGAAGAGTTAAAAGATTTGCAAAGCACCACCAAAAGGTGATAGCAAAACAGTGATATTCCCGCTATAAGAAAGTTTTTTTTCCTAATTGAAGCCCTACACAAACGCATGTGCTGGAAATTTTAGGCCCAGCTCCTACATATATATTCTCAGCAGTTAAAAAGAGAAATTAGGGTCTTAACTTGCAGAACAGTGGTCTTAAGTTCAAATTTCTATAGTACCTTAGTAATGTGTGTGAGAGAGATCCCTCCCTCTTGTAGTATAGGTGTTAATGGTAAGTTTACACCATTTTTTTAATTGTTTGGACATGTGTCGACTGCTAATTGACCCAAACATTATCCCTCTTCTTATAAATAAAAGTTTTTTTCTTCTTCGTTACAAGATGGGCTGTAAAAAACTGTCAACTAGCTCATGCACTACTCCAAGATATTCTATTATTTTAACGTGATACATTCGAGACAATACATTTTAAAATAAAATAAAATAAACCTAAGCAATACAATCATATGCAAAAGAAATGATTTTGAATGGAAGGTGCTTGTGTTTTACCATTGCACGTGGGACATGGATATTATCAAGGAAGGTAGAGGTTCTAGATATATATCATTGGAGCAAGAGTAATATAACTGAACCAGAAACTACACGTACACTATAAGAAAACCTTTTTATAAACTACAAGTATACTCGTGAGCTGTATTCATGTTAGTCGCAAACTATTCGTGACCAAATTATGTTAATTACGGATTGAATATCGATCATATAACTGTGGTTGAAACATGTGTTGTCATTCATTTCACAGCAAATAGTGTGTGTGGACAATAAAGAGTTAGACCCCACCTATACTCCACCTCTCTTTTTGAGAATATGAAAATAATATTTTTTATTCAACATGGACATAGATTTCTGTGGCTAAAATGCAAAACTTCTTTATTAAAAAAAATAATAATAAAATAAAAATAAAGTAAATAATAATAATAATAATAAGTAAAAAAGAAATATGAACTTAGATACTAAAAACAAATAAATTTGTTGGAGTCATTCTTTTGTACAATTCTTGAGGGTCCAAGTATTTTACTGATTTGTAGTACAACCGACGTAATTTGTAACATGTCCCTCATGACAATACCATTTTCTAACTAATGCAACAATACTTTATTTATTTTCATCTAACTCACTATGAATTTCATTTATTTATAATAAGGAACCACATACTTGATTCGACTGACTCTCAACATTCTTCATCATTTATCAGGTCAGATTAACAAGATTGGAACCCTATATACGAGGATAAGTTGTCTTCATAAACTTGGCTCGCAATACTAACTGCCACTTGGTCTCATGGCACTTATATTTTTCAAGTTAAAAGAAATTCAATAAGGGACTTGTAGCTCAAGTGTTAAAGAACTTTATCCCTCTAGCATCACAAAACAAAACGCTGTTGGCTTTTGCCATTCATATGCAAATTATGTGGTTCCACTCCGCTGAAGTAGGCTTTTGCAATACAATCATCCAAACACGCCACCCAGATTCCAACGAATGTGAAAATGAGGAACCTTGCGTTCCAAGGCAGGTTTAAAAAGGGGAAGCTGTCTTATGTTTTACCCCTGCACATGGAACATAGGTTTTATCAAGGATGCAAATTTTGAAAGGGTCATTACAGCACATACATTCCGGCGCTTCATTGTGCCGTCTTCATCACCAACCATAACTTCGAGAGACAATTTTCAAAAATAAGAAACAATAACTTGCATCACACCCATATTATAACACGTGTACAAATTATATCACGTGGTTGTACTACAATATCATTCTATAATTTCTCAAATACGAGACATAGAAATTGTACCAATCTTAAATTCTTCTCATACTTCATGATGCTACAACTTTGTTTGAACAAGCCCAACGGGGGATCTAAATGGGGCTGAACCACCCGTGAGCTGCAAAATGTAGCAACTGATGTCAAAAAGCCATCTCTAGTGGAACCAATTGCGTCTTTCAAACCGCAAGCTTGGCCCGAGGATTGCATGCATCCCCACAACAAAATTCTATAGTTATGTTGCCATACATGAACCCCTCATGTGGACCTTCATCAGGGACAGACCCACAGTGGGGTCAAACGACCTTATGGACTCCATGAAAGCAATGTAGAAGGTCCCTTTGAACTTGTGTGTGACCCCATGAATGGCTGACGGAGGAGGCTGCAGATGTGAGGAAGAAGAAGCTGAACAGGGGTTCAGTTTTTTTTTTTTAAAAAAAAACTGACCAAAACGACGTCGTTTTGGGTCAGCTTCTATTTTTTTTTTTAAACAAGCTGGCCAAAATGGCGTCGTTTTGGACTAGCCCAGCAAAATTTTTTAAAAACACGCTGGGGCCAAAACGGCGTCGTTTTGGACTAGAAGCAACAATTTTTTTTTTAAAGACCTGGCCAAAACGATGTCGTTTTGGTCCAGGTCTTTAAATAAAAAAATAAAAATAAAGATTGTAGTTGAAACAAACCTTCCTCAAAACTCCAAAACCCTCATTTACTAAACCTAAATCCCTAATCTCCCCACGAAACTTTATCCCTCTTCCCACCAAGCCTTTTACACTATGACCCTACGAGATAATATTCATGGGTCCGTCCCTGACCTTCATATTTGTCACAGGATCATTTTATTAAACTTAAGTGAAGTTGCTATTCAGATGAATCATGTGGCTAATATGAAGGTCCACATCTATGATCCATATATAACACTCTCACCATAGAACTACTACCTTATACAGCTTACCATTGGGCTTGCCCTTAAAAAATTTAATCTCCTCCTTGCGAATTTCGAACTGGGTCGCGGAATTGGTACGTTACTGAGCTCAATAATGATGATTAAACAAACCGAATTCGTTAAGGAGTAAAGCCAGAACAGTACTAGTGGAAGAATGGATACGCCACAAACAGTCCTATTGTTCACCTACTGTCCTATAAATATCATGCCTACTATACTCCACACATGATCGATAGATTAGACCGCATAAATGTCATGCCTTAATATTATTTGCCAAATTGCCGATTATTTGCCTACTAGACTATAATATCAATGCCTACCGTCCGCACATTCATGCACTGATACATTAATAAAGTGCGCCTCATTTTATCTTACATATGAGTATTATAAAATAAATACCGTACTGAATTAAAAAATGTTACACAAATTGCAACCCGAAATACCATACCGACTATCCCTACCCCTTCGTATCGCGTACCATGGAAACTAGCGTAGCTTAGAACGGAAACTGTTTCTGTTCCACATACCCTCTTCCCCCTCTCTCAACTGGATGTTGGTCCAGCATATTTCCAGCAACCCAACCTTAAAAAAGGGCAAAAAAGCACATTGTCTAGGTTGGAGGAACTATGAAGCTTACCTTACTATTATGAAAAGGGTTACCAGGTAACTATCAAACTGTCCGTATATTCGTAGTGCTATTTGAATGTACCCTCCTACAAGGGTCAGTATAAGAATCATTATTGCATCTAACCAGAACAAAGCTCACTAGTTTTATATTTCTCTTCACCCACAAATGTGAGTTCCATGAAAATCACTTGCAATTTTTACATTTAATTTATTTTTCATACATTTCGACAGTAGCGTTTCAATACAGCTCAAGTTCATCAAGCTCTGACCCAAATTGTGGATGCCATGAATAAACTAGGCATACAGAAAAATGGGGATATTATTATTGACACAAGGACACCCTAGCACAAACAGAAGATGAACGACACATACCAGATGAGCCTCAGTTAATATTTGATATCTATAGGCTCAAAACCCTTGTCAATTGATGCCTTGACAGCATCCAGTACAATCTGTGTCTTCCTACTAAGGGTTGGCCACTTCTTCTCAGGTTTTGAACCATTTTAATAGTACCTACCAAACGAGAAAACTCTCTTACCATGAGAACCTCCTGCGGAAGATCTGTGGTAACAATGTGCTGACTTGGTGGTGGTACCCAACAGGTCACAAATTCATCAAATCCGGTTTCGGAAGCAAATGAAAAACGGGCCTCTTTCTCTTGATGAGGGATAACAAAACCATCAACATGCAAAGTACCCTTTGTACCGACAGCAGTTATCTCCATCGTCAAACTTGATAAGAAAGAGCAGTGGAAGGTTGCCACTTTCCCATCTTCCCAATGCAGAGAAGCTCCACAAGATAAAATCACCCCCACTTCATTAAATATAGGGCCACGCAAAGCTATTACTGTTTTAGGCAGTTCAAAGTTACTTACCCACAGGATTCCCCTGATACAGTACCACCCTGCATCCCCAAGAGCACCATGAGCGTCAAGGTCTGGATTCACACGAATATCATTCTTGAGAAAATCAGGATCACTAGCAAAAGTGAACACGGTGTGTATCTGCAGTACAGAAACAAAATGCCTTTAAAAGAATACCAGAAAGTGAGGTTCAAAAAGATCAGTCCAGAGCTGCCACAAACAAATTATAATCACCTAATCCAACATATCATCTAATCTCTACCACTGCAACTTGAATATATGCCTTCTGAGCAGTATACATTTGCAGAAAGCCTAACACTACTAAACGAAGAACCGATCCAAGTGGAGAAAATAACGCACACAAGTTTCTTTGTCAGCCTAATATTCTAGTACTATCATTTCTGGATTAGATGTACACAGTTGCACACTCAAATAACATAAATTGCAATTTTCTATTATTAAAATTACCAAATGTATTGCAAGGATTGCCGCCCAAAACCACATGCCATTAACATGTCCTATCACAAGGCTAGTACGGTTGTCTTTGAATCAAATAATCTTCCGGTACTTTGTACCACATGGAACTAAAAGGACATGCTTTTGGTATTGCATTTGACTTGGGGCAGGAAATCAGGCAAAGTTCATCCTAACCCAGTTATAGTCAAATGCAGAGTAAGGCTAAAGCTTTACTCGGGGGTTCTGGGTTTGGGATTGGATTAGTAAAACCTAAACCCAAAACTAGCCGAATCAAATGGCTTCTCATATTCAAGTCCAATAAGAATTATCCCCTCCCCCATATTTAAAGAATACTAGAAGAAGTCCTAACCTTACTTTTCCATCATCTCATGTTAACTATCTCATAACGAGGTTAATCTTTGGGGAAAAAACAGTAAATTGTTTTCCAGGTTCAAAAAAGTTCTAATCCCTTCAAATTTCTTTCAAGTATAGATTACAGAAGGCCCTAAAAAGCTATTTGAATCAAGATCTGAATTCAGGATGCTAGCAAAGATTATATACAGAAATAATGGGTTATGTTATGCTTCCTAGAAAAGCTGGTAAAGCAGATAATCTGTAAGAAGGCTAAGAGAATAGAAGATGGAATGCCAAAAATAAAAAATTAATAATAACAATAATAAATATAAATAAATACATACATATATATATATAGGTAGAAAAACAGTATCAGTGAAAATTAATAATTAAATTGCATTTACATAATAATAGACCATAAAGTTTCGGCACAAATACATTGAGAATGGAATGCAGTAGGCTATAAATCATGCTACTTTATTGACCAGCAAGCTTCAAATGTGCAAAGCAGAAACAACATTACACAAACTGCCAGTATAATTCAACTTATAATGGTCTTTGACAAAGTGCTAGACAGCAACTACACAACTAGAATCAGGAAGATGCTACCAGTCCAAACAATGGAACAATGATTCCATTGCATAATGAAATGCTAGGCTGAAATTTGAAAACTAAATAATGACCACTTCTTTTCTGGTGGTCCAAAGCAAACACTACAGTCTGAAATTAAAGAGCTGCAACAAAGTACTGCAGTCAGCTTAATCAAATACAAGATCAATGCCAACACATGCACCATCACTATGTTAACGTTCACCTCTTATAATATGTAGAGTACATTAATCATATAATTGTAGTAGAAGTCCATTAAATACGCAGACACTCATATGTTAAAAAGATTGTGTAACTACACTGGACATGCTGCATTAAATAAATACTACAAACTACAAGGTCTTAGAGAGAAAGAGCTGGAAACTTTGAAGGGCCTCTATAACATAAATAATACAGACTATAGAAAAATACAATCTAGAGATATCCTCTTACACAGAACTTGAAAGATCTTAATGGCCTAAAATGGAAGGATGGTCTACCTTAAAATTTCTGAAAGTAGTTATTGAGGTCAACTGGAATCCATAACAGATACCTTAATCCCCTGAAGTAAGGATTTGAGAACTCAGGAGCAAGAGTACCTATAGTTGCTATGGCCAGGGAAGCTAGTTTTGTAACTGAGGGCAGTTCGAGTTCTAGTTTTTTCCAAGACAGATGGTTACTGTAGATAACAAGTGTGTCCTGAGCGGGATCCTATTTTTACTCTTTCACTACATTGGCTGAATGGGTGCCAAGTTATTAGTAGCTACGCAGCTAGGCCAGTAGTAGTACAGTTCAGGTCATGTCATAAAGCTACAGGTTCCATTGGTGATCGTGAGACAGATGTCAGAGGCAACTTGTTATAGAGATAGCCATATACTACTAGTAGCAGTAGTGGGGAATTGTTTTCTTAGGTAAGGTTTAGTTTCTTTAATATAAGGATAAACACGCTTATTACTGTTTCTGCCAACGTTCAGCCGTGGTAGGATGCTAACTTGTTCGTTAGAGATAAGGTCATTAATGTCTATAAGTGAAGACTGGATGGATCCCCACTCCTTGGGTATGCTTTCAAAAGGGCTGTTTTCATGTGCTTGTGGTCTGTTGGGTTGGCACATCTACAAGTGGACTAAACAGAACTACGAGTAACATGATTTGCCAGTAATACGAGTATGGAGAATAGCACACTGGTTTGATAACTTTAGCTATGAAATTCAGTTCACTAGCTCAGCTTCTCCTATGGCTATTTGGATAAAGGAACCTAGAGGAAATCATTTAATTCGGTCTTCAAATCACACAATTGTGGAGCAGTAGATGATTCCTGCGATTAGTTTCTAACTTGTTTCCTAAGTTTTTTAATATTTTATGGATTTCTTGTTCAATTAAGATTCTTGGATAAGTTTAATTTCCTTTTCACTGTAGGATTAGATTGTTATAAATACCCCCATGTAATCCATTATAGATGAATTGAGTTATTGAGTTAAAGTTTGTTTTCCAGATATTGGAATTCTGGTGTGAAGCCAAACCCCTTTGTGTGAGCCAAGGACAGGTGTGAAGCCCCTGGAGTGATTCCAGACCTATCTTTATTCATCTATTTTCTGTTTTTCATTGTTTTCGCTTCTGCTAATCTGCCTAGATATTCAATTCACTCATATCCATCATCAATTGCTAACATCAACATCACTCTCTTTCTTGCCCACCAAATAAAACCCCACATATTTTCCAGCCCTGCAGCCCTCAAACTGTCCATCAAAACAACCCTTGAAAATTTCCGAATTCTCTGTCGAATAGGAACTTGAACTACCCCTTTTTTTCTTTCAAACAATCCACTATTTGCCATTTAGCCTTATCATTTCAGATCCCAAATTCTTCAACAATCCGTGAACTTCTAATTCTACAAAACCACGCCATTAAAACACAGTTTGGAAATCCTAAATCCTACTATACAAACCTCATCCTTCCTCACTATTCAGGCATTTTCCCTTCTATTTTTCTCCTTTTAAATCTGCCTGATATCATGTCAAGGGCGGTTGAGGCAAAAAAAAACAATTCCACACCTAAAATGAGTCACTACCCAATTCACTAGACTCAAGAAGCAAACAAAAGCACTTCAAATTTAAAACAGTACAATAACAATAACAACTGATAAACTGAAAAATAAAAAGAATTTTTCTAAAATTTACTTTCTTCGGAAGAACTGCGCATGCTCAAACATTCACCTAATCGTTGACCAAAAGAAAAAAAAATTCAATCCCTTATCCTTCTTAAAAAAGAAGGATTGACAATTGAAGAAACACATACCGATCTTAGCTGACCAAAACGGTTCGGGTCGGAGAGAAATTCCGACATCTTCGCAGTCCTCGGGTGGTGCATCCACATGGTACCGTCCATGATCTGCACCCCACTGGATTCGCACGCCTCGGCAATCTTGTCAAACTCCGCCACGTTGAGCGCCACGGGCTTCTCGAGCAGGATGTGCTTCTTCTTCTGGGCCGCCAGGACGGCCCACTTGACGTGGAGGCTTGTGGGGAGGGGGACATAGACGGCGTCGACGTCGGGGTCGTCCAAAACGGCGTCGTAGGAGCCGTAGATCTTAGCGTTGGCAGGGAAATTGTTGGCCTTGGCGAAGGCCGTCGCCTTGTCGATCGACCGGCTCCCGACGGCGTAGAGTGTGGCGTTTTGGGCTACAGTGATGGCGCGGGAGACTTTTCGGGCTATGTCGGCGCAGCCCAGAATTCCGAATCGGATTGGCGTTTCGGCCGACATTTCGGGGGAGGCAATGGAGGTTGTAGAAATGGAGGAGACTATGAGTGAGGGGTGTGATATTCTGCCGGTCTGTCTTATTTATATCGTTTTTTTTCAAGAACCACATCAACAGTTAACAAAAATTTTAACAATTTTTCTAACGGATAGTGTATTTTGAAATATTCCGTGCAGTTTGTGTATTGGTCAAACGGGTCAATAAATATTGGGTATAAGTTTGTAACGACTCCGATAATTTGGAAGGTTTATTGTAGTTAATCATTTTTTGTTTTTTTAGCTTTCCACACCCAGTCTAATATCTATATTGATTCCCTACAATTTCATGCTATTTTCATATTGCAGAGCATAACGAACATGGCTTTAATCAATCCTCTCGATTTAGATTAGCGGCAAGTGCTTGATTTTTGCAAGGTCAAATAGGTGACACAATCTTTACAAATCTTCTTGTGTGTATGTGTTCGGAAGGGGGCATAGGGCTCTTGTACTAATCTTAATGAGGTGTTTGGTGACGAGACTCACGAGCATCTTTGTTTCAACAGAAAAATACAAGCCAGTTAAAACAAAGAGGCCAACGAAAAGATGTACAATTCGTAGATGGGTTGAAGATTGGGAGGATAACAAAATTATTATATTCAATACGGGTCTCTGTCTCCACCGTTGTTTTATCCGTGCGCCGGTTTTGTATATGTGGATAATTGATTTAGTCTTCTCTCTTATGCAAGGTTGGACCCTTCTATTTGTAATATAAAAAAAAGCTATGGATTGAACAGTTTTGTATATAATTTGTTGTTGCTATGTCCAGATGTCAGATAGTTGTGCACCAAGAATGCGATGGCGCAAAAGATGTGCAGGATTTTACACCATGGGTTTGTAAAGCGTGTGAAACATCTTATCTCATTAGAGAGTGTTATTTGCTGCTATTGACTTGAAAATGTGTTTGTTCAAGAGGTGCTTTGAAGCCTACTGATGTTGGCACCTTGTAGGTTAATGTATCTTGCACTCGGTTTCATCGTGAAGTTGGTTTCTTGAATCATTAGAGCATCTCCACCCCAAAAGGCTAAAGTTAAGGTAAGGGTTGTCACTATTCACGTGAATAATGGCAGCCTTATCATTTGTGGTTCCACCCCAAAAGGTTAAGGCTAAGGCAATTACTATTCACTTAAATTTGTTTTTTTATTTTTTATTTTTTATACTTAAACCATTGATTTTGATAAGCTTTTCGGATAAAATTTTCGATTCTCAAGTGTTAATATTTATTATAAAATTCTCACCTAAAAATTAAGATAACATTTTCGGATAAAATTTTGAAATTAAATTTGGTGTGGAAAGTGAATAATATTGGTAGGTATGTATAGAAAAAATTTCCAGAATTTTTTTATTTTTTTTCAATTTTTTTTAGCCAAAAATTAGACAACCGTTGAATTGTGCAAGATTTTTTTATTGGAGGCTCCAGGAGAAGCCACGTGGCTTGTAACCATTGGGCAATGTGGGCTAGTGGGTCCAACAGTAAAAAAATATTTGAAAATTAGCTGCTGACGTCAGCAATCCGCGGGCAACAGCCCAGTCAATTTCTGCCTGTGGGCTTGCCAGGGCTGGTGGGTCCCATGCCTTGCCCAGGTTGGATTTCCTGCGCTGAAGTATAAAACTGGGCTTGGGGGGGCCTGTTGCCAGGGCAAAGCCCTAGGGCTGGAAGTGCTCTAAGGGCTAAGGCAAGGGCAAGGGCTGCCACTATTCATGTGAATAGTGGCAGCCTTGCCTTTTTTTGTTCCACCCCAAAAGGCTAGGGCAAGGGCAAGAAAAAAAAATATATATATATATATATATATATGCAACAAATATACATTTGTTATGTATTTTATAGGGAAAATGAATAAAATTGTTATGTATTTATAGGGAAAACATCCATAATTTTTTTTAAAAATTGAATTTTTTTCCTTTTTTTTTGCTCACTGACGTTAGCGCCCTCGGGCTGAAGCCCAGGCAAGATCTGCCCTTGGGCTTGCCCGGGCTGGATTTGCTGTGCTGGATAGTGGATTGGGCTCGAAGAGGGCCTTTTGCCCTGGCAACGCCCCTGCACTGGAGATGCTCTTAGAAGATGGAACCTACTGTTGGAATCCTCAAAATCCCACCAACTACTTTTTTGAAAGTAAAGATGCGTCTCAAATGATCTTGTAATGGGTATAATTTTTGAAACTTAATGGTTACTGTTTTCTTTTTAATTTTTGTTAACTTAAAAGGATAATTTTTCTTTGATGGTTTTACGGTATTGTTGAGGCCCAAAAAATCCACGGCTTGGCCTAAATGAATTCTCGGCCCAGCGCAATACCTTATTGAGAAAAAAAACCCGACTTGGAGCACACAAAGGTCCGCCATGCACGAGTCACACTCCACGCGCCATGCCAAATAAATAATCTGTCATGCTAGGAATCGAGATTAAGATTATAAAATGCATTATCTTTGCAAATCCATGCTAATTATCCCATCAAGCATAATAAGCATGCCAAGCGATATGCCATGCCAAGCGACATGTCATGCCAAGCAGGAAATCATTATTACACACCCAACCACGCTACAAGCCTAAGTGGGCTTAAGCCACTCGAATGCCCGGGGCTTGCTTGAGTGGGTTGTAGTATGGACGGTAATGAATCAACATGAGGCCCATTGATGGGCCGAGAAATGGAAAGTCTCGGGTTGCTGGGAGCCTTGGGACTTAAGCCTATTTCTTAGGCCCAAACATGTGAGTGAGCACAAGAGGGAAAAGAAATAGCCCAAATAGCCCCAAATAGCCTATTGACTCAACAAAAAAGCCCTATGTTTAACCCAAAAAAAATAGCTCGCTTGCTTAAGGAACCACCTTGGCCCATACAAAACTCCAAAATAAGCCACAAAAGCCTCAACCCTTTGCTGGAAAAATAGAAGCCATGTAGAGAAGGTCTGCGGTTCATTGAACAGAGCTGCTGGGAGGTTCCAACACATTGGGGAGCAAGTTTCAAAGCCAAAATATTCAAGGAACCAAGGGGTATTAGCATGTAAGATGCCAAAGAGAGGAACACCCTTCGAACCAGCATATATATATCTCAACTCCTTTCCCCATCAGACTTGGCCATGGAAAAAAGAGAAGAAAGCAATAAAAGAGATGGCTGGGAATGGAAGTCTCCCATTAAGACAGCTGCGGGAAAAGGGGGTCTTGAGCTAAAAAAAAACTCTGATCTGGTGCAAATAAGGAGAAGGGATTTCATCAAAATGGGAAAAGTCAAGGAATGAAGGGAAAAGCTTGGCCAAAATGGGTAGAAGCCATTAGGGTTTCTTGGGAAGTGATGGTTTCCAGCGGCTATAAAATGAAGCCTCTCCTACCTAACAAAGGCAACCCAGATTCAGAGAGCAAGCTTTCTCTCTAACTTGCAAAAACCCAGCAACCTCGTGCATTATTCACCTTTCTTCTCCATTCTTCTCCTCTAGCAGATAAAGCATTTGTCAAGCTGCTGGAAGAATTATGTTCTCTATTTCTTTCCTTTTTAGCCAAATCTCTTACAAAACTTCTCCTTTCTTACCTTAACACTCCCTTTTTCCCCCAAGAAAGCCTAAATTTCCCCTCAGTGCTAAACTCATGTTGATTTTGCTTCCATGCCACATGCCTCTCATGCTAAACTCAAAATTTTATCTGTAAGCATGCATAAATTATCTGTAAATTGTTGTTGTTTTAGTCGGTGAAGGTAACCAAGATGCTTCCTAAGACTCTACTGCCCTTTCGAAGAATTTTTGGGGCTTAATTTTCGAACTCAGGTAAAGGGAACAATTTCATCAGTCTGCCCTGCCCATTTACAGCTGCCGGAAGAAAAAGTCTCATACAGGTATCCTTCGTCTTTACTCCTCAAGTTGGGAGAGGATTACTAAGCCTCTATTTATGTTGTGCGATTTTTGTATCCTTTTTTCTTTTTTTTTGGGTCTATCAGTAAGCAATCTGATTTGGCAAAGCTAATAGAAAAATAAAAGGCGATTATTTGGGATGAAGCAACAAAGGTGCATCGTCATGCCTTTGCAGCATAAGATTGAACTTTTAGAGACATAACTAGCATTGATTTACCATTTGGAGGGAAAATTATGATCTTTGGGGGAGATTTTCGACAAGTACTTCCTGTTATTCCCTAAGGAACTAAGGCGGAACTAATCCATGCTAGCGTGGTTAAAGCATTATTTTGTTCACAAGTAAATATTTTGAAACTCAAGCAAAACATGAGGTCTAGGAACAATCACCAATTTTTAGATCTTTTTTACTTTGTGTTGGTAATGGAGAAGAAGAGGTTGTTGAGGATGATACGGTAAGACTACCTGAAGAAATGGTGATACCATAGGAAAATGAGCAATCCATTTATGAAATTATAGCTGAAGTTTTTCCTAACTTGGAAGACTATATCAATGATGCAAGTTACATGGTGGAAAAGGTAGTGATAACTTCTACAAATGAAGATGTTGACATGCTGAATGAGAAGATAATTAGTATGTTTCCATGTTTAGAAAAGAGACAATATATTCATTTGATTCAGTTGAGGATGACACAAAAATTTGTATATCGCAATCTCTTTCTCTTCTAAGTGATGCATTGAACCATTATTCATTCATCACTAGAATTGGTTTGACATAGAACGTTTATTTAGGATATAATGGATCAAAATCTTTTGGAATTCAGCCTCTTGCGAGGCCATCAAGTTATTGAGGATCTGTGCTAGGTAAGGAAAATGGAGGGGATGCGTTCTGGGGATGGTGGTCAGGGAAGAGCAGATTTGGGTAGGGTGGGTTGTTTTTTTTTCTTTTTAGTTCTTTTTAAGTTTTTTATAATTTGAACTTTGTGAACATGTTTGCAAATATCACTTTATTAATTTTTAAAATATTTTTGTTTCAATAGCTTTTTTGTTGTACTATTAATTTATTAAATATTTTTAGTTTTATTTTATTTTTGTATCAAATAGCTATCTAATGGTCCTTTAAAAAAAAATAAGTAGCTATCTAAGATATTTTTCTTGATGTTATATTGATATGGAGCTAATCACCATTTTGATGTTATATTATGAGCGGCTTCTTGTTACAAAGATTTATGTGTTAAATATAAAATATATTTTATTATATAGTTAGTATTATGTGCTTGTAAAGAGATGAATTTTTCATTTGAAGATTTTTCACTAGTAATATAATCAAACTTGCTTTCTTTCTTTTTTTTGTTACAAGGCAGGTTGAAGCCAGAAAAGAAAAAAAGCTTAACAAGGCACAGCCCTACTTTGGGCTCTTCCTATTTCATCATCCAACAGAAAGCTTGAGAGGGAGATAGGAGCAGATTCATAGATATGAAGCCCCAAGGGTAACTCATACCCCAATTTAGCAAGGTGATCAGCTGCTCTGTTTTGCTCCTTGTAGATATGAGAGACATTGCATCTCCAATTACGTTTAAGTAACAACTTGCAGTCTTCAATCAGACAAAAGAGAGGATGTGCATGGTTACAAGCTTGAGCAATCAGAGAGACAACATACAAGGAATCACATTCAATATCAAGGGACCTAATGCCCTTGTCCCAAGCCATATGCAAACCTCTAAAGAGACTCCATAGCTCAGCCTCATAAATATTTCCAATCCCAATATTGGCAGAGAACCCACAGATCCATGCTTCATTAGAGTCCCTTAGCAAACCACCAGCACAAATCTTCCAAGAATCAGTTTTACAACTGCCATCCACATTCAATTTGAAATTGCCAAGAGTAGGAAGACTCCAACGGACTTGGATGACCTCTCTAGTAGGCTTAGCATTGACCACATTATTGGAATCAAGCCATTCACTAGAAAATTGCAGAATAGTGTGATGGGGGTTGGGAGGAGACTCATAGCCAGGGTTAAAGATAGAGTTACATCTCCATTTCCAACAATGCCAAATAGAGGCCGTAAAAACAAGTGTCCAAGGAAGGTTGCCAGATAGCATAATCTTGCTCTTCAGGTTGATTCTTAGCCAATCAGTAAAGTCTAAGGAGAAAGAGTGAAGAACATCAAGGGGAACCTTTATGAAATTCCATACCTTAAGAGCAAAACTACATCCTCTAAAAACATGATCCATAGTCTCAAGAAGAGAAAGGCATTTGTGGCAGTTAGGATTAGTTGTCATCAATCTCTTCTCCCTTTGAACATTAGTAAGAATTTTTCCATGCCCAATTAGCCAAACAAAGGTTTTGGGGGCAAGCACAGCTTCCAGATAAAGTCCCAAGGCCAAGGCACAATATCTGCACCATCAAAGAAGGAAAGGTAAGCAGATTTAACAGAAAAAGAGCCATTATTTGATAAACCCCATATGCATTTATCATTTCTTTGAGACTCAAATCCAGTATGGATAGCACAAATCCTTTGCACAATTTCCGTAGGTAAGACCTACTAAAGAGCATCAAGATTCCATCCATGGTCAGACATAAAATCTCGCACTGTCCATAACAACATGTCTTCAGAGAGGGGAATAGCGGAAAATTCCTCAAGCAAGCCACAACCTGCCTAGTTATCCTTCCAAAACAATATGTCATCACCACTGCCAACCCTCCACTTTAAACCTTTAGTAAGAATCTGAGCACCAAATAAAATTCCTCTCCAAGTATTAGAATAATTAACATGAGCAGACTTATTAAAGTTCAAAATACTTTGATTCTTGATTCAGAATATGACTCCAGAGGCCTTGGTCTCTCTGTAAAAGCTTCCATCCAGATTTAGCGAGCAACACTTGGTTCATCAAATGGGTTTGTTTAAGACCAAGACCACCCATGAACTTGGGTTTACAAACAGAACCCCGTTTGACAAGATGAACCTTAGTTGATGTCTCATTGTGACCCCAAAGAAAGTCTCGATTCATCTTGTCCAGCTTATCACAAGTGCTAATAGGAAATTGGACCGTTTGCATAGAGTATATGGGGATGGCAGAGGAAATGGCTTATAAATACACTAACCTGCCAGCCATAGATAACATATGACTTTTCCAAGATGCAAGGCGCTGTTGGACTTTGACGACAACATGGCTATAAGTATCATTCTTCACTCTAGAGTGAATAAGAGGGACCCCAAGATAATTTCCCAAAGAATCAGTAAAAGGACAACCACAGATGGAATGTCACACCCCAACCCTTGGATTTACAAAACCTTGGGTTACGATGTGATTCACATCTTAATTATAGAATTGAATACAAACTATAACTAAAATGTGAAGAAGACATTTAAATAAATAAAATAGATATTTCACATAAAATATTCAGCAGAAACGCGGAAACGATAACGTTTGAAACCATAAGAATTTTACATTATTTTACAAGTTAGAACTACTCGAGAGTTCACTTAAAGAGTAGCTCATTATTCAACCACAAGCTATGTTACATTCTATAGACATGCCAAAAATCATCACAAGCTCTAGATTTCAGGTTCGGTACCTGCAAAATCTATTAGGGGGTGAGCGAAACCACAGCTCAGTAGGGACATAAACCTTTTTACTATAAATTGACATAATTAAATTAAGTGACAAATAATCAAGCAGCCAAATTTCACATTATTAGTAACAATGCATGAATGCTCTTCATCTAATCCCGTTAATTCATATAACTGGACAAGCAGACCTGCACGTCCCATACCGTGCTTATACCACTTGGTCCCGAATGCCCATTTATATGAACTAACACCCATTTTAATCATCCATAATTCCCCCTTTTGTTAGTCATCTTGTCTAACTCCCTTTCGCCAGTCCCGAATCACCCAATAAAAACCATGTGCACTGTGGGATCCCTGAGACCTGGTACCTGCCAAGAGTTAGACTCAACTACACAAAAGACCATTCCCATTACCCTCTTTTTCCACCATTATTTTCTCAACCCAAGAACTCCAAATAATTTCCATGACATTATATAGTTCACATATCTCATAAAAACAATGTAATCATTTAAATATCACCAATGTACATATAATCATGCCCACATTGTTCAAACAGTTAAGAGTACGTAAATCAAACAGTACCATGTATAATATAATGCTCACGAAATTTAATTAAATCAATCTCTGAAAAAGGCCCCCCAAGAAACCCCTACCTTAACTCCAAAGCTAGCTCCAAATTACGAAAACCCAAGCTAAGTACCTCCTCCAAGAATTTCCTTACTGCTCTCTCTCCCTCTACGTTTTTTCTTCTCTCCCTCTACGTTTTTTTTTCTTCTCTCTTTGTAAGAACTTTCATGCAGGTAAAAATGCTTTCAAAAAAACAAAGGAAGTGTCCTATTTATAGTAATACTCAAGAGGTTTCAAATTGTTCTAATTGGTGGAGAGGTGATGACCACATGTGAACTTGATCTCCAAGTTTAGGATAGCTATTTATCAACTTGCCAACACCTCATGCTAAATAAGGCTTAGTCATCTCAATAGATTGACACTTGGAGTCTTAAAGTGTGTTTGTACAATTTATCTAGGCCACTTCAACTTGGTCGGCAAGGAAGAGATAAAGTTAAAAGCAATACATAAACTTATTTCTAATATTACTACTTTTTTTTTTTTTTTTTAATAACTAAGAACAAATCTAAAAGTATAACACCTAAAACAAAACAATTATATATATATATAAGTTATTATTGTAGTAGTATAATAATTAGTAAAAAAAATTATAACAACAATGTTTACATTATGTACCAAGATAATTAAAAATATAACCAATATATATTTTAAAATACGGGTCTTCACAATCTATCCTCCTTAAAAGAAATTTCGTCCTCGAAATTAAAAACTTACTGGAATCAGAGAACAATTCTGGGTACTTTTTACGTATTTCAGTTTCTAATTCCCATGTAGCTTCTTCTGTGTTCCCATGTAACCAAAGAACTTTAACCAATGATATTATTTTCGTACGTAACACTTGTTCCTTATGATCCAAAATTTGTATTGGTCTTTCCTCAAATGATAGTTCTTCATCTAAATTGAGCTCTCCCCAATCTAGAACATGGGTTGGATCAGGTTCATACCTTCGAAGCATAGAAACATGAAAAACATTATGTATATTCGAAAGTTGAGGTGGTAATGCTAGCTTATAAGCTACTTCACCAATCCTTTCTAAGATTTCAAATGGTCCAATAAACCTTGGTGCTAATTTTCCAGTCTTTCCAAACCTTTTTACTCCTCTTCGTGGTGAGACTTTAAGAAATACATAATCCCCCACATAAAAGCTTAATGGTTTCCTTCTTTGGTCAGCGTAATTCTTTTGTCGACTTTGACCAGTTAAGAGACGTTGCTTGATAACTTTAATCTTTGCAGTTGTCTCTTGTACCAAATCAGGACCTAACAACACAGTTTCTCCTATTTCAGTCCAACATACAGGTGACCAACAAGGTCTTCCATATAAAGCTTCATAAGGTGCCATTTGAATACTAGATTGATAACTGTTGTTGTAGGCGAATTCTGCCAATACCAAATGATCTTCCCAACTTCCTCCAAAATCTAGAATACATGCTCTCAACATGTCCTCTAAAATTTGAATGGTTCTCTCTGATTGTCCATCAGTTTGGGGATGAAAAGCAGTACTAAAATTTAGTTGCGTACCTAATGCTTTCTGTAAACTTCCCCAAAATTTGGAAGTAAACTTGGAATCTCTATCTGAAACAATCGAAACAGGAATCCCATGTAATCTTATTATCTCTCGAACGTAAAGCTTTCCAAGGTTTTCAGTGGACTCTGTTGTTTTGACTGGTAAAAAATGTGCAGATTTGGTCAAACGATCCACTATAACCCATATTGCATCTCGTCCCTTTGGAGACCTAGGTAAACCTGTAACAAAATCCATGGTTATATGATCCCATTTCCACTCTGCTACTGGTAATGGCTGTAATGAACCTGACGGTTTCTGGTGTTCAGCTTTCACCTGTTGACATGTGAGACACCTTGCTACAAATTTTTCTATATCTCTTTTCATACCATTCCACCAAAAGTTACGTTTCAGGTCAAGATACATCTTTGTTCCTCCAGGATGAATTGTATAGAATGAATGATGTCCTTCTTTCAAAACTTCTTTTCTCATATCAGAAATTTCTGGTACATACAATCTATCCAAATATCTTAATCCACCGTCTGCGTGGACATTCCATCCATCTGGTGTCTCTCCAGTTGTAATTTTAGTTCGAATGTCTTGAGACATAGAATCAGATTCTTGTGCCTCAATTATTTTTCCAATCAAAGTGGGGTGAGTTACTAAATTATATAGATATGCGTGATCCTGGTGCATACCTACATACAAGTCAAAATCATAGAGAGATTCTACCATCTTCCACCTTTGATCATATAAACTAGCTATGACTTTTTGGGGATTTCGACTTAAAGCATCTGCGACCACATTAGCTTTTCCTGGATGATAATGTAAATCAAAGTCGTAGTCTTCTAGATATTCCATCCAACGCCTTTGTCTTAAATTCAACTCCTTCTGAGTGAATAAGTACTTCAAACTCTTATGATCTGAGTAGAGTTCGAAATGTTCTCCATACAGATAATGTCTCCACACTTTCAATGCATGAACAATAGCTGCCAGTTCTAGATCGTGTGTCGGGTAATTTTTCTCATGTGATTTCAATTGACGAGAAGCATAAGCAACAACTCTGTCAAATTGCATCAAAACACATCCTAAACCATGCAATGATGCATCAGTATACACTATATAACTTACACCTCTTTCTGGTATAATTAACACAGGAGCTGATGTTAATCGAGTTTTTAACTCTTGAAATGCTTCCTCACATTTATCATCCCAAATAAACTTAACTCCTTTTTGTGTCAATTTGGTCATTGGATTAGCTATCTGAGAAAAATCTTTGATAAATTTCCTATAATAGCCAGCTAAACCAAGAAAACTTCGAATCTCGTGAACATTTTTCGGCTGTCTCCAATTTAACACTGCTTCTACTTTTGAAGGATCCACGGCAATGCCTTCTTTTGAAATAACATGTCCTAAAAATTTCACTTCTGTCAACCAAAATTCACACTTACTTAGCTTGGCAAATAACTTGTGTTCTCTCAATGTCTGTAGAACAATTGACAAGTGTTGTTCATGCTCTTTTTGAGATGGTGAATAAATGAGAATATCATCAATGAACACAATCACAAATTGATCCAGATAAGGTCGAAAAACTCGATTCATTAAATCCATGAAAACTGCTGGAGCATTTGTCAACCCAAAAGGCATTACTAAGAATTCATAATGTCCATATCGCGTTCGAAATGCAGTTTTCGATACGTCTTCTGCTTTTACTCGTAATTGGTGATAACCAGAGCGAAGATCAATCTTTGAGAAGTATCGGGAACCTTGCAGTTGATCAAACAGGTCATCAATCCTAGGTAAAGGGTACTTATTCTTTATGGTGACTCTATTCAGTTGACGGTAGTCAATACACATTCTCATACTTTGATCACTTTTCTTCACAAAAAGTGCAGGAAAACCCCATGGTGACGTACTAGGACGAATGAAACCTTTTCTTTCAAGTTCTTGAAGTTGTATTTTGAGTTCTTTCAACTCTGCTGGTGCCATTCGATGTGGAAGTATAGAGATAGGTGATGTGCCAGGATAGATATCTATAGAAAACTCCACTTCACGTTCTGGGGGTAATTCAGATAAATCTTCTGGGAAAATATCACTGAAATTCTTCACTATAGGAATAAGCTCAAGTTTCGGATCACTCAGATCCTTATTGGCCATGTGAGCAATCAATCTCAAATAATTGCAATTTTTATTATCCAAGATTGATTCAGGCTTGCAACTATTCCTATTTCCATAAAAACTGAATGTTTCCCCTTCACTGACAGTCATAGTCACCATCTTTCTACCGCAATCAAGAATAGCTTTAAATTGGGTAAGTAAGTCCATTCCCAATATTACATCATACACCATAAATTCCAATATCATCAGGTCAATAACAAGTTTATGATCTGATATCTCTATTGGGCAGGATTTACACAACTTATTAACTTCAACACATTTACCCAATGGAGATCCAATCATCAACGAGGATTTCATAAATTCATATTCTATTCCAAGAATAGATGCAAATGATACGGATATGAATGAATTTGTAGCACCGGGGTCAAACAATATTCTAGCCCACGAGTTAAAAACTAGAAATGTACCTTCCACCACAGTAGGTTCATTCGGCTCTGTCACTTGTCCAACAACATATACTCGTCCTTGAGTGAGTTCTTCTGACCTCCTTGCTGTTCCTGGTGCCTTAGGCCTTTGTTGTGTAGGTTGTCCCTTTGGACGTTGTGTCTGTTGTCTAACAGGACCTCTAAACTGATTCAGTGAATCTTGATATGGGGCTTGGTACAGAGTACGGTACTGTGTTTGTGGAGCTTGAAATTGTTGTTGTGGTGCACGAAACTGTGGTTGTGGTTGTGGAGCAACAGGTATCTGATATGATTGTAGCAGGGGACAATCCCTCCGGTAATGTCCTATCTGTCGACAATGATAACAAAATCCTGAGTTTTGAGTTGCCTCAAATGATCTTGGATTTTGATATCGAGAACGAGAGGGAAAAAATCTTTGGCGTTTGTTACTTTGTCCCCCGTTAGGATTCTTAGTTTCAAAAACTCTTTTAGAACTAGGTATCCTTTGTTCGGCCATTAAGGCACGATCAACAACTTCAGTATACTTTTTCAATTTAAAAAGTTCCACTTTCTCCTTGACCTCTAGTCTCAATCCTTCTTCAAATTTCTTTGCTTTTGCAGATTCATCAGGAATTATGTAAGGAGCAAAACGCATGAGTTCTTCAAACTTAGCTTGATATTGTCCCACGGTCATACCACCTTGATACAGATTAGTGAACTCACGTACCTTCATGGTTTTCATAGTTTCAGGAAAATATTTCTCTAGAAACATTGTCTCAAAGGCAACCCAAGTTGCAACCTCAACATCAGGCATAGCCAAGACAGATTCCCACCAATGATAAGCTTGTCCTTCCAAATAGGTAGAAGCAATGGTCACTTTCAAGTCTCCAGGAACTCTTTGTTCATTCATCTTTCTCTTTATTTGTCTTAACCATTCCTCTGCTGCCATAGGGTTTGGATCACCCTTGAACACAGGTGGTCGTGTCTTACGAAATTCCCCTTGAATCCTCATTATTTGATCATCTTGAGTTTCCTGATGGGGTTCGTGGTTTTGTTGATTTGTCTCACGAATAGCAGATGCCATATCTTGAATGGCTAACATTATTCTCATACTATCACTCACATCATTCTCATTTTGTCCTTCTACTCCAGCCATCTTAATAATTAAACCTTGATACCAAATAATTCCACAAGATTAAAAATATATATATATAATATTAAAATAAGCATATTTGTCATATGCACAACGTAAGACACACAATGACAGATACCAATAAAAAGTGTTGATGCTAACGAAATCTAGTATGGATTTTTATAATCTAGTGAATCGAAGAGTCAAATAAACTAAATAAAATGACTGAATGCTATACTTAAGAAAACTCCAAACTATACTGAAATGTACACAAGATTTTAATAGAATCTAACAAAACTAAAAACTGCCACTTGTCTTTGTAAGTTAAATGCAAACCTATATGATACAGTAAAAAGAATTGCTAGTGTGTAAGCTGATGAGTTGCACATAACTGAGTTTAGGTTAAATCACTTAATATATCAAGATCAAAAATACTGGCATGACACAAAAATAATTATATGAAGTAATACATATTATGAAAAATGAAATTGACAATTCATAGCAACTTTTTATGCAATTAATCATGTCTATAGAAATCAGAAAGGAAAACATACCTATATATATATAACATTGATAAATTATATGAAAAAAAAGAAATATTACAGAAAAACATGCTTATTAAATATTTATAAGTTGTTACAAACCTATTTTAACAAAATAGTCACAAACCTATATTACAAGGAACTTTCTATTTAAAAACCTTCATAAGGCTGTTTACCAAAAACTATACATACCAAAATCAGCTTGTTAGACTTACACTATCTTATTAGTCAAACTTCTGAGAGTATCTATTCATCATCAGAACTAATGTCTATAACTTTAACAGGAGGGATAATGGGCTCGGGATATTCATTTTCATCATCAGAACTTATATTGATGATAGTTGGACTAGGATTTTGTGGTTCAATGATAACTACTGAAGCAGCTGACGCAACAGATTCAGCAGATAAAGCATCAAGGTCCAGAAGTTCCAAATAGGCTTCATCTCCTGGGTCTGGCACAGGGGGTAAGTTTAAGTCCTGTGGTTCTGGAACATAAGGTAAGTCTATTCCTGGTGGTGGCCACATATCAGCAGCAATAATTGCAGCATCTTCTAATACCTGGTTGTAAGAGTGTGCTTCAATATTCAACTGATATTGACTCCTTATGTTATTGGCCCGCAATCGATGTCTAACAACAAGTCTTTGCATTTCTGGTGTATAAAACATTCTTCTATACCCTGTCTCTACAACTTCATTAACGACGTCCACATAGGCTTGGTTACGTAGGCGACTATGGTATACTTCTTCGTCTATTGGGATAAGGCCTTCGGGTCCCATTTGGAACCCTCCCCATGTATCATTACTCTGATCGGGTTGCATCCTAAACAATATTTTAACAGATTAGTGAGTAACAAAATGATTTAATGAAATCGTAAAACAAAGCTCTGATACCAACTTGTCACACCCCAACCCTTGGATTTACAAAACCTTGGGTTACGATGTGAATCACATCGTAACCCAAGGTTTTGTAAATCCAAGGGTTGGGGTGTGACATGGAAGCAATTTGGTTGGTAGTACCATAATTTGTATTAGGGGAACAGAATATCCTAGATTTGTCAAAATTGACTTGTTGCCCAGATAAACCACAAAAAGTCTCCAAACAATGATGCATAATCGTAGCCTGTTGAGTGTGAGCTTCAACGAATAAGATAAGATCATCTGCAAAGAAAAGGTGGGAAATTGCAGGCCTTCCTCTCACCACCTTAATTGGTTTCCATTTTTTACTAAGGACAGCACCATTAATTATGTGGGACAATTTCTCCATGCAAAGAACAAAGATATAAGGAGATAAGGGGTCTCCTTGCCTTATGCCACAAGCTGGTTGAAAACTTTCAGTTACTTCACCATTGAGAATAGCTTGATACTTGACCGTTGTGATGCATTGCATAAGCAGCTCCAACACTCTGCTTCTAAGACTCGCTTCCCATAGCACATCTTTAATAAAATGCCACTGAAGTCTGTCATAAGCTTTGGACAAATCAATCTTCCAAGCAATGAAGCCTTTCTTGCCTTTAGAGTTCCGAAATTTTTGGAGAAGCTCTTGAGCAATAATAATGTTATCCACAATTTGCCTGCCAGGAACAAAACCCACCTGGTTAGGGCTAACAATCTTAGGCATGATAGATCTGAGTTTATTGACCAAAATTTTCGATACAACCTTATATAAGGTGTTGCATAGACTAATTGGCCTAAACTGAGACATAGCAAAAGCATTAGGGACCTTTGGGACAAGAGCAATAAGGGTGTTATTAAGGTTGTCAGGCAAACTTGAAGAGGTAAAACAATCTTTCACCAAATCACAAATATCATAGCTGCATAAAGTCCAATGATCTTGGAAGAATTTAGCTGGAAAACCGTCGGGCCCAGGGGCTTTAAGCTCTCTGATAGAAAAAAGGCTAAGCTTAATATCAACATCAGTTACTTCACTGTTGAGAAAGTTCAGATCTGTAGAATCCAAATCAGGGAAAAATGGGGAAGATCAACCATCTCACCAATTCTAGTCTTCGAAGAGAAAAGGTCTTTGAAGTGGGAAGTTACAATAGCTTGCATATCAGATTTCCCTGTGGTCCAGTTTCCATCACTGTCATTCAGCCCTTCAATCTTATTTCTTCTCCTTCTAACGACTGTAGAAAGATGAAAGAATTTAGTGTTTTTATCACCTTCCTTGAGCCAAATGTTCCAAGACTTTTGAAGCCAAAAAAGTTCTTCTTGTTCCATAATCACATTCAGATCACCAAGCAACTTTTTCTCTAAGTCCACAAGAAAAGGAAAAGTCCTCTTACACAAAGATCTTTGAGTGCCATCCAGCCTAGCCATGAGTCTTTTCTTTTGTTGAAAAATATTACCAAAAACCTCTTTGTTCCAGTCAGTAAGGGCCTTAGTGAGAGAGAAAGTCTTGCACATAGCATTACCATTAGAATTATTCCATATAGCTGAAACAAAATCTTTGAAGCCTTGATGCAACATCCACATAGCTTGGAATCTAAAAATTTTAAACTCTGAACGTTGGTATTGAGCAGAATTAAGATAGATCAAGAGAGGACAGTGATCTGACTTGACACTAGGGAGGTGCCTAACAAACCCTTCAGGAAATTTATGTCTCCAGGTAATATTACAAAGCCCTCTGTCCAACCTTTCCTAGAGAGTTTCACCATGAACATTCTTTTTGCACCAAGTAAACTGTGCTCCAAAAAAACCAAGATCCACTAAATGATGACGACCAATCCAGTCAGCAAACCCACTATTGCAATGAACAGCTCTGCCTCCCTTCTTTTCGGAGTCATCAACAATTTCATTGAAATCCCCAGTAACAAGCCAAGGAAGGTTATTAGTAGAAGAAACTCCATCTAAGTAGTTCCAGAGGGATCTTCTTATTCTAGGACAAGGGTGAGCATATACAATAGTAAGAATCCAAGAAGATGAACCTTGTGTAATCATTGCAGTAATTGACTGGTTGGAACACGCCAAAATATTGAGATGAATATTGCTATAATTCCATAAAAGCCAAATGCCACCCGAAAACCCATTTGCATCCACAATATGATGATTAGTAAAGCCCAGGCCATTAACAACACGCATGGCTTTATCACCACTTATTCTTGGTTCAAGAACAGCCAACACCTCAACATGATTTAATTGGATAATATTCTTAAGTATTCTGGGGAGGGATTTGTCCCCATCATCTTTTACATTCCAGATCAATATCATTAAAGGAAATGGCATTGAAGGACCCTAGGATAAAGATCCTAAATTAAAAGGCAGAGCTCAAAGCCTCTACCAAGGCAGAGGCAGAGCCTACAACTCCAGATTTAACATATATCATGGCTTTTTTAAGCCTAGCAGAATTTACAATAATAGTAGGAGGATGACTATTTACCTCATTACCAATTGAGACACCCATGTTTGGACTTCCACCAGAGTTATTCACAAAACCATTGCCACAAATCATTGAATCAGTATTTTGATCAATATTAGGGGGGGCATGCCCTTCAATATCCGGCTTATTGACATGGTCACCCCCAATCCCCTTCTCCTTCAAATACTTGTTCAGATTGAAAGAGAGGCCATCCAACGTTTCTTCTTAGATATCCAAATTGCGAACTTGGAATCCATTCGACAAGGAAGTCTTCTTGAGGACACGTGGCTTAAAATCAACCTGTCTATTTTTTGGAGTATTAGTTGCAGCATCTTTCTCTTTCCTGTTGTTGGAAATATCCCCCAAGGTTTTCCTTGGTCTACCTTTAGCTTTCTATTTTCCCTTGACTTGCTTTGTAGTCTCACCAATTTATTTTGCCTCAGCACATGCAGGTTCTAGGAAGCATGGTTGTGGGGTGGCAACAGGAGGTTGCACTTCAAGGGCCTCAGGGAGGCCATTTATCTCATTTTGTGAGTGCAAAGGATCAAATCTGGACCCAGATTTTTGTTTGGCAGCATTGATCTTGCCATCAGCATGTGTAAGCTCCTTTTTTTTTTCTAAAAGGTTTAACTAGGCTCCAAGGACCGAATTGGCTTGAATCCGCAGGGGTAGCTGCATAAGCATCCTTAGTGCCAGAAGAAATCCCAATATCAGTGTCAACCCCAAAATGTTCCTTATCAGATGTAGACTCTCCTTCCATAGGCTTTTGGGTATCCTCATGAACTCTAAATTCAGATGGACATTGGTTCCTATTATGGCCATAAATTCCACAGCCAAAGCAGACCAAATGGAGTCCTTCATATTCTATGGCATACCAATTATTCTCAACTTGCACATTAGCAATTAACAGTTTGGTCAAATCCAGTTCAATACAGATTCAAGCATATTTGCCACGAGCTTGAGCAACTGTGTGAGTATCAATGCGATAAGTCACACCAATAAGGTCCCCAATATGTTTAATTGCCTCAGGATTAAACCATTCAACATGTAAACCCGTAATACGCACCCACACAGCCATACGAGTGATAGTAGCTTCATTAGGATCAAATCCTGGTTTCCATATCTGCATCACTAAAGATTGCCCAGCAATTACCCATGGTCCCCCAGAAAAAACGTACCTCATGTCTTCCTCAAGCACAAAGCGTACAACATAGAAGTTGTTTTCCAGGTCAATCAAACTTATTGCACCTTTCAAAAGGCTCCATTTTTGTCTTAGACGAGCTAATAAGAAGCTGTATGTATGGGTCCTGCCCATTAGTTTGATTATAATTGCGTTCCGCCAGGGACGGCAGAGTCATTCCTTCACCTTGGTGCAAAAGCGTATGCAAGGACCACGAGTACCCTTTGAGACCTCAAAATCATCATCCTCTATTGTGAGTTTATCTTCCTCCATACCCACCAGATCCTCCTTATGCACTCCGATCCCACCTGGGTTCATGAGCTTTTCACGAAAATTCATTATAGGTTTCGGCGCTACCGTAGGAAAAGGCTCAACCTCCATAGCTCCCACATCAGTATCATTAGGTTCAAGGATACGGCTTCTCTTAGCACCAGCAGTTTCAAAAGACCCTCCACTTCCCGAAGGTTGGGAAGCAAAGAAAGTGAAGTCAATTGGTGGCGTCGCCACTGTGAAGCAAATAATCGGCAGATTTTGGAAAAATGTGATTTTGGGATGCAGCGCTTGTAGTGCGTTCAATTCTCCAGCAAATTTTTCTCAGTAGCTATTTTCATATGTGAATTTTAATCAAACTTGATTTCATTATGCAAATTAGTGGATTCTGAATCAAATTTGCTTTCATTATAACTTGTATATTATTATTTGTGATAAATTATGAATTGAAGTATTATTTTTCTATTTTTTGTGGTGATGTGGGCTATAGTAGTTTTAGTGAGGCTTTTGTCTACTTTAGTTTTGATTTTGACATGTTAGTTTGTTATCTTATTGGGATTAGTACTTTAGATGTCATGTTGATGTTTTTTATTGTACTGTTGAAGTTTATGTAATGAAAGTTTATATTTGATTTATAAAAAAAAGGCACTATCTGTCTATTTTTATAGTGTTATTTTCATTTTTAAAAAAATTCAGAACTTTTACACCACAACCCCTGTGTCAACAATCTTAAATTTGCCACTACACATTCGGTTAAACGGGTGAGCAAAAATGCTCCCATATTTTTATGGACAACTACCGTATATGTTCTTTCTAATTTTATTTATTATTTATTTGAATTTAAAAAATTGTGAATGTACCAGTTTATCCCTATTTAATATTATGTTTTAGTATTTTATTAACCAATCACAATTGTTAGAACTTTAAATATTTCACTTTTAAGGCATCCTGCTTTTATATATAGATTATAGGGAGACTTTGGAAAAACCCAAAGGAGAGAGAAATTTTGTAAAAGAAGCCAAAATGGACAAATTTGCCCTTATTTATTTTGGATTTCCTTAGAAATCATTTACACTTGCATGTCTTTGATTTGAAAGTTGAGAGGTTTTTCTGTCTTTTTTGAAAAAGCTTTGGCTTTTTCCAAAAGTGAAAATTTTTTTATGGATAAAACCTAAATTTACTTAGATTTTTATATTGACGGTTTAATTAATAGGTTGCCATACTTGCACGCCAAGTCAGGAAAGATTTTAAGTTGGGCTTCTGCTAAACAATTGCTATTGGCACCAAATCGAGGCTTCTTCATTCGGCTTGCCCCATCATGCAAGTTGGTATGGAAAAGTGTTTTCTTTTTTATTTTTTTTCCTGCGAGAAAAAGAAATAGTTTAATTATTTTGTTAACATTTTTTTTCTCACACGTGGCAAGAGAAGAAGAAGCACGTGGCAATGTTAAAAAACAAGTGGCACCAACATCACACCGCTAGGAAGGACATTGTGACACCTATGCATGCCCATAATCTCCACATGTTGAGCTTCTTCAGCAAAGAGTGTAAGAAATCCAGTCAATACCCAAATTTGGTGAAGGGAGGGTTAAGAAAGAACGTCGTCGTTCTGAAGCATAAATGTTGGGGCCGTGGCGAGGAGGAGGAGGAGGGTGGACTGAGCCGTGGTTTGGGTCTGAAGTGTGGGACCCTTTCGGCGTAGGATTAGGAATATCTGACTGGGAACTACAAGGCGGCGGTGATGAAACCTCTGCTGTCGCTAATGCTCATGTTGATTGGCGTGAGACCGACAACGCTCACATCTTTGTTGCTGATCTTCCTGGTTTGTAGTTTCTATAAATCAACATATATATGACATTCCTCTCTCTCTCTCTCTCTCTCTCTCATGTAATTAGGTTTTCTAGATTATCCATTATTATCCGTATTATTAGGGGTCTGTTCGAGAGTGCTTCTAAAAAAAAAAAAAAAAAAAAACAAACTAACTTTGAGGGTTTATTTGCGATTTGCCAAACACCATCAGAAGCTACAAAAGCAACTTTTGATTACAAAGTCGTTTGCTTTTCACAAAAATTTATCCAATTTTAGCTGTATTAGTACTTTCCTATGTAAATTCTTCTCTTTTTTTATATTTTATATTTTAATTTTTTGGTAAATGCTCTCTATTTTTTTTCACAATAAATATTTTGCTTGTGATATAAATCTGTTTCCCTAATCTCAAGTTAAAGTATTTCTCTCTCTATATCTATCTTGTTTTTTTTTCTTTGGTGTGTAAATGTTGAAAGAGTAGAAAATTGGTGCATATGTATGCTAGAAAAATATGAAAGAAAAAGAAACTGCTACAGTGGGTTGTGCAGTAGGGTTGTGTGCACTGGTGTCGCCGTGGTGTGAGTTCGCAAATACTATACTAGACCTGTTACGATTGTGCTCCAATTTCAGGAGTGAAAAAGGAGGACGTGAAGGTCCACGTGGAGGACGGCAACATGTTGCAAATAAGCGGGCAGAGGGTTCAGGAGCAGGAGAAGACTGACGACAAGTGGCACCGCGTGGAGAGGCAGCTTGGCAGTTTCGTGAGGCGGTTTTGGCTGCCCAAGAATGCTGACTCGGATAAGATCAAATGCGGACTCGAAAACGGGGTGCTGAAGGTGACAGTTCCGAAGAAGGACGCAGAGCAGAACCCAAAAGATGTTAGAACCATCGATGTGGCCTAGTGAGCTCTCTTGTAGAATTAAGGGCTTTTTTTTTATAGTCGAAAAGGATCAAGTTTTTTTGTGTTCGAGTGTGTTGTATTTTATGCTGGTGTATCATGTGTATATCCTAGAAACGTAAGTATAAGTTTGTTACTCTGCACTCGAGGTGCTCGAAACTCTGCACTCGAGGTCCTGTGTTCGAAATTCTCTTTAATTAAAATTAAATAAGAACCTTCTCAATATCTCTTGTATTATTTGAAGAGAAAATTTGTGAAAAGTATATCATTAATTAGGTTCTCAATATAAAAAGAAAAAAAAAAGCATCGGTGAATCGAAAGACATTGAGGCTTTCACTTTGAGAAGGATATTTTCCATCTACTACGAACTTGGTTATTTTGTGTCACGCTAACTGAATTGCAAAGAATCCATCATAAAGTAAAATACAACAAATTCTTGGCACTGAAGGCCTCGGAATAGCATATACCAACTCAAACTTAAAACCTTTCTTCAACAACGATAGATTATAAACACCAAATCAACTACATGAAAGCATGAAACTTATCTCAGAGAAATCCAGTGACAAGTAAAAAAGGAAAGACAAATCCAGCCAATTGTTGGCGATTTGGTTAATAATTTAGCTAGTAGTTATTTGTCAGATTCTAGAGTCTGTTATCATTCGGCACGAAGATGCACCATTTTCTAATTTCGAAATCACTAACATTCTAAAAGCTAAAACTCATGTTGGGTGTTTCAGTTCAAGATCCAATTTAATCTGTCCAAAATTAACCGATCTAACTCATTTTTAATCAGTTACAATAGTTTTGTCCATTTTTAATCAGACGGCTAGACAACGATGCAAGGCCCCCAAAAAAAATGGAGCCTCCTGTAACACCTTTTAGCTCAAGAGATACAGTAGCAAAAGATGTCTTTTATGTATGTAAGTGATGCTTTTTGGGCTTGATTCTAAAAAAATTTGGAATTTTTTCTTTACTTTTCATATAATGGGCCTATTTTACATAAACAAACAAACTTAACACTTAAGCTTGAAATTTTTAATTTCAATTTTTGTTCAAAATAAGGTAAATATTGAACATAAAAGTTCTCATTTTATTTATTTATCCAAAATCAATGGACTGGCCTTGTTTATAGAGAACACGTCCTTCTCAAACCAAATACAAAATCAACCAAATCAAACTGTCAATTATAGTTAAAATCGGCTAATTTGTGCGATCCGACCGGGTGTGATGCCAACTATGAATATTTTCTGGGTGTATTCAGTTAAGATTTTAAAAGAGTTCAATGGAGTTATTAAGTTTATAGAATTCAATATATTTCAATTGATTTCTATAAACTCTACATAGAGTTTGACTGTATTCCTGAATTGAGTTGAATGGTGTTTGTTATCAGTTTTAACATAGATTTTAAAAGAGTTGATTTAAATGTTTTTTTTTTTTTTTTTTTTTTTTTTTTTTTTTTTTTTTTTTTTTTTGTGCGTGCGGGGGGGTGTTTGTTTAGGTTTTTCTTTTTTTTGTTTTTTTCAATTTAATAGAAAGGTACCTTTACAAATACACAACGTTCAAACATTATACATCAAAAGAAAATTAAAAAGAACATATGTTTTGTATAGTATCCATTCTGAGTGCTCTTCAGGTAACATTTTCAGGAATGCATTTTTCATTAGGAACATGAAGTATCTTGCTTTCTACTATTTGCTTGCTTAGCAAACCATTAGAATCACGCCATCCACGGTTGGCAGCATCAACCATTAGTTCTAACAATATATTGCTCTCTTTCGAGGTTCATGGATTATAAGGTGTTTTTCCTTTTCCTTGTTGTGAATCTCTCATTTATAATGTTACTAGATAATACATGCAATCTTTAATTAGTTCATAAGAAAAAGAAGAACATTATTTTTACCTTTTGGCGTGGACACACACATTATAGATTGATAAAGAAGGGCAATATTATATATATATATATATATATAGAGAGAGAGAGAGAGAGAGAGAGAGAGAGAGAGAGCAAACCACATGGCGTCGTTTTCTGTACATTATTTCATATGATAAGCATTCCTTTTTTTTTGGTTATGCCTTTTCCATCTTTAGTTGTTGTTATTTGGTATTTGTTTTTATGTACAATTATATATATATATATACCTTGTTCGTAATTAGTAACCTATATATCTAGCCATGGTTTGCCATCATATATATACTATACAGAAAACGACGCCATGGTTATCCACAACCAAAATATAAAAAAAATAAAAACGGAAGAAGGAAAAGTAGAAAAAATAATTGGGATGCTTCTGTACATGGATATATGTACAGCGACAACAACTATTCAAAGACTATCAACCATACGACAGGGTATCAAAGATCATACATATATGAAAGCGTAGAAAAAAAGAAGAAATTTTTTACCTCCACTTGACAAAAATACATGTTCTAGAAAGCATGTTCAAAGTTTATAGGGTTGACATAAGATTTGTCAGGGCCTTTTCTATTTATACTTACCACTTTAAATTCTAACGAAATTGGGCAAATCATTAATTCCTTCAAAATAAATAATTTTTTAAATACACCTAGATTTCGATCTATTTTTTTAAAAGAAATAATCTAAATTGAATACAAACAAATTTTACAAAATCCTCTGTTTGGATTAAGTTATTGAAAATTACATGGAATTCTAAAATGACAAAATTTAGATTTCCATCATTTCAATTTCTAACAATTAAAGATTTCAGTTTTGGATTTATGTATGTCAATTTTGTAAATGGCACCATGACAATTGTGAATTGAGCCTATATTGGTGGAAATTAAACTCGGGAATTTGATGCTCCAATTTCCACAGTTTTTTCACCGCATCATTTAATAAATTTTACGCTTAAGTTGCCAAACAAGGGAATGTCAATTTCTCCTCTTCAAATCCTGACTTTTAGCTAAATTTTGAGTTATTTTCCCTCATGCAAACAAAGAGTTAAAATCTTAATTAAATACACCTAGACTTTTGGACTCTTTTAAACTCTTAATTGAATACACACACCCCCTTATTCTGTTTTTCTCTTACAGAGTTTTGAGATTATGGGTTATGGACCACAAAAAGACCCTCATCCAAAAAACCAAAACGGCCACGCAAAAGCAACGTTCACTTGGAAACGAGACAACAACACTCAACATTCGTTCATACACAAAGCATGAGCATTACTTGCATGACATGAATGGTTGAAATTCAACAGACACCTCCTTTCAAATTCCAATTCCCACACTCACATTTCTCCTTCACTTCTTCACTTCCTCTCCAAAAAACAATGCTTCTTCGCCATCCCTCACCTCCTCTCTCCTCCTCCTTCCTTTCCACTACCACACCCAAACACCTCCGATTATTCTCTTCCTCCTCCTCCCCTCGCCCCCGTCCTCGTCGTCGCCGCTCTCTTTTCCGATGCGCCGCCGGAAACGACGTCATCGAAGTCGACGCCTTCACAAATAAGTCGGGCTACCTCTTCGAGCTCAGTGACTCTGATGCCAACTCCATAGAAAACTATAACATCTCCAAAATCCGCGCCATTTACAGGCGGAGGCCGCTGATTCTTCTTCGCCGGCTCTTCCAGACTGGTCTCACCTTCGGAAAGTGGTTCGCGTATCGCTACATTGATAACCTAATGGAGCGCTCTGACCAAATGTTCGAGGTCAATCTTTACTTCTGCTCTGTTCTGAAATGAAATCGCGAAACTTTTGGGGATTTATTAATTTTTAATAGTATGCAATGGTTGATTAATACGTTTGCTTGCAGGTCAGAGCTGCAGAGCTTCGGCAAGTACTGCTGCAACTTGGACCGGTGCGTTATGCTTGCTTCTCTCTTTTTATGTATTTCATTATTGAATTGCTTACAATTGTTGATTATTTGTATTTTTGTTTTGTGGTTAAGCTAGTTGTTAATTAATTCTTATTATTATTATTTTTTTCAATCTTATAGGCATATGTCAAAATTGCTCAGGCCATCTCATCTCGACCTGTAAGTTGAATCTTTCTGATTAAAGCGTGCTCTTCCTTAAAAAGAAAGAAAGAAATTAAAGGTTTTCTGACGTCAGGACATTTCAGTCATCAAAATATGATGGTTTGTGCATATTTCTCTAGTTGGGTATTGATAGTCCCAAACTACATTCCCTTTTTATGCTGAAAGCATTCCGTGCATGTGCTATAATGTCTGTCCGCACTTTTGGCTATTGCTTGTGTAAGAGTCTGACTAGTGCTCATTAGTCATTAGTCATTAGTCATTCCTGGTGGAATTTTTATTCAATTAGGAGGGGCCTTCTACCTTTTTGTCAGTTTTTAGTGAATTCTGGAGTTTTTGTTCTTGTTTTCACTTCTTCTGCATTAATGTAGTAGTGAAAGATATAGGGGCTTTGCAACACAATACAGGTAGGCAGGCAGTGCAGTTGATATTATAGACATCATGTTTAAAATTATGTGGAATTGTTTCATTGAAAGTCTGAATTTAGATCCAGCTTACGAGTTTGGCTAGTACTAATAATGGAGGCACAAGATAAATATAAAAGATTATTTGAAGTGTATGTATTATATGATGTATGGTATATTTTTTTTTTTTTTTTTTTTTTTTTTTTTTTTTTTTTTGAAGTGGGGAAGTTTTCTTACTTCTTGGTTCAATAACTCTACGTATTCATGACATGCAGCTGTGCTGTGCAGAGTTACATATATGCATCGGGATGTTCTGCCCTCACTTTTTAATTTATATAGTGCACTTTCCCAAAATTAATGTTTTCAAGGCTTCATGTGTATTTTTGGATATTTTGGGAATGCCTTGGTGTTCTCTTCAGACATGTTAAACTGGTTGCCAAAGTAATTGTTAATTCTTATAGATATTCTTGATCAATACTCTGAAATCTCTGAGAAATTTATGAATCCTTATACATTGGATGCTATAGTATTATTAGTTGTTGAAATATTTGCATTGTTTTCAAATGAAGTTCTGGAATTCAATAGTGTCACTTATCCAGGAAAGAG